AGCAATTCCACAAGGAGAATGGGAGGATGAAGACCCAACACCCAACACCACAGTTTCCCTCTAAGGAGTGCAAGAGAGCATTCAAGCCCAGAGCCTTCTTTTTTCGTTAATGGCCGACTTGGGATTTTAGAACCATTTCTGTTGAGCTAAGCCTGCCCTCGAGTGGCCAGAAACAATACTGAGAAGCAATTCCTTCACCTGGTCTCTCCATTTTTTTCACTCAATACAAACTCTGAGTGCTTCCAATACTAACAAACAGAAGCTATTCCATGTTTTCCTCCTGAACAGATTTTCCACAATTAGAAAAAAACAGTTGGAAAATATGGTAACTAGTGAAACAGGCCACTGTTTGCCCAATGGTGTCATAAAAAGCACACCTGGAAGCACCCCACAGCTGTTTGCAATGGCTCCTCAACATTTTGAACCCTCTCTGTGGGCAGGGAAGGTTCACCTAATTTCTCCTTGGGGAGGAAAAGTTATTAAGCATTTTCTTCCAGGTGAGGCCGTTAGCTTCCTTATTTCCTAGTTTTCGGGGTTTGTGCAGCCAGTGCAGGCAGCGATAGCAGCAACTGTGCTGGCAGCCTGGCTGCCATTTTGTGACTCCCACAATGCCCCAGAACTAGCAGCATTTCCAGGCATTGTGAGCACATCATGGAGAATGCAGTCACCACAACAGAGAGACAATCCAACCTTTTTCAAGGGTGATAGAAGAAAATCTCTGAGGTTTTCTGAGAAAAATGTACTCTGAGAGATCCTGTGGCAACTCCGATTATCATTCTTCAGTGTTCAGCTCCATCTCCAGGGCCCAACGTTGATTTTGAGGGGCGACTGTGGAAGTGGTAATCCTGCTTCTTCCACACAAACCCTCTGAGCACATGCATGCGTATTACAGCAGTGTTGTGCCCAGCCCTGGGGAAGAGCTAGTGCTGTGGTTCTCCAACGCCTTGGAACTTTTCTCCCCATTCTGGGGGGCTTCAATTTGCGGTTTTCTTTTGCTTCATTTTCAAGCGCTTCTGAGCGAGTGGTTCCAAAGTTGCCAGAGGGCTGAGTGTGCTGTGCCCACGTTTTCTACTGCAGATCCCTCCGTCACTGCAACTTCCCCAGCAGCCTGGGTCTGCACGCCCTGATCCGAAAGGATCCTGTGTGGGAGGGCTTACACCCTCACATCTTTTCTTGGACTCCAGCAGAAGGGCAGGAAGCCACTGAGAGATGCGAAATGATGGAGAGATGATTGTACGATGAGGGACAGACTCCCGTGCATATGATTCTTCAGGCAATCTCATCTAAAGCAAGCAAAAGAACATTGCACCCCATGCACACTGACATTTTCTCCCCCCTTGAACATTTTTTTAAAAGCAATTTTGGAACGAACAGAATAAAACGGGGTGTGTGTGCAAGGACAGCCCCCCTCCTTTATAATGTAGAGTCAAACGTGGTTAAATACAGAGGAAGTGGAGGAAGAAGCAGGACCCACGGCTGAGTGGACAAGGCCAGCAAGCCAGCCTGAGGGCAGGCAGTTGCTGCGAATCGGTTTCAAGTTCTGTGGGAAAGTCTGTTCAGCCAGCCGACACAGGAGCAGGCGAACCCAACGTCATGAACCTGACCATGTGGTGTTGGGTGAAGAGACCAGCTGGGAAGCACTGGGCCGATGAGCGGCAGGATCCATCCTGGGGGTAAGAGCAACTATTTTCAGTTTGGGAGAGTATCATCCTGTTTAGAATCAACTTCAAACAAATAAGCTGCATTTCCCCAAAGGCCAATATTCTAACTTTGCTTGTTTCATTAGCTACTGCTTTCTGCAATAGTCTTTAAAGCCTGTGACGAGGGTTTAATATAACAAAGCCTTTTAGCGAAAAGCCTGTCCCAATCTGCTTGGAATGGGATGTTTGTGTGTGTGCGCATGAGCAGCATGGAATCTTTGAGCAGCACTAGTGCAAATTTATACTTCAAACATCTCTTATTGCTGCATTTGTTATTGATGCTATTTCAGTCTATATGTATAGCATTTGATTATTTGTCTCATACTTACTCCTAGGGGATTCTTGCCACTCTTGTCTTTATCATGCTGTTCTCTGTCCTGATGTTGCATTTTATTGTGGCATTTTATAGTACTGCTTGCATTACATTTTAACTTCTACTGGCTTGCATGCTGTCTCTAGTGGACTACACTGATCAGCAGCTAATATATGTAATGAATATATAAACCAGAATGAGCTATTTGTTCTGGAGAAACATCATGGACCAGATATACCTCCATATTTACCTCAGAAATAAGCTCTCTTGGGTATAGTACTCCCTAGTAGGTCTGTAAAGTTGTAGCCAAAGAGTGCAATCCCATACATGCATAGGGAAAAAAAATGTCTCCGCGTCCCAGCCACCTGTAGCATGCCTTCTTGTAGGCTTTTTCCATCTAAACACCTATAAAGAAAGGTAAAGGTTTCCCCTTGACGTTAAGTCCAGCCATGCCTGACTCTAGGGGGCGGTGCTCATCTCCGTTTCCTAGCCAAGGGAGCCAGCGCTTGTCCGCAGACAGTCTCCGTGGTCATGTGGCCGGCATGACTAAACACCGAAGTGCACGGAATGCTGTTACCTTCCCAGCGAAGTGGTACCTGTTTATCTCCTTGCATTTGCATGCTTTCGAACTGCAAGGCTGGCAGGAGCTGGGGCGGAGCAACGGGATCTCACTCCGTTGTGCAGATTCAAACCGGCGACCTTTCAATCAACCAGCCTAGCAGCACAGCAGTGTAAACCGCTGTGCCAGCTGCATCCCTCTAAACACCTATAGGATCGTGAATTAAAGAATTATATAAAGAATTATAGCTCTAATGTCCAATGCTATATTTTAACCTTCTCCAACCACATTCTGACCCCCATGTGGACTACAATTCCTATAGTTCCCAGAAAGCATGGTCATTGGTAGATGGGGATTAGGAGACTTGTAGTTCAATAAACCTGGTGGGCACAGTGTTGGGGAAGGTGACTTCTGTTGCTGTAATGTGCTGTCCAGTCATTTCTAACTTGTGGCAGTCCTATGAATGAGCGTCCTTGAAAGTGCCCTGTCCTTCAGTGCTCCGTTATGGAATCATTCCATCACCTAGTTGCCTTCCTTTTCTTCTTCTGCCTCTGACTTTCCCTAGCATGATTGTTATCCTCTTGGGTGCACACGTTAACATGGTAAGGGAGTTTGAGAATGCCAGAGGAGCTGAGAGCAGTGCCTCCAGAAGGCCAGACTGTCTCACTAGGCTGGTCTTCTAGCAGTCACCCCAGCTGGAATGGTCAAAGTGGAGATAGCAGACCAAGATGCATATGTCCTCTTCAGGAGTAACAGTTGCAACAGCAGAAGAGAAAGGATATTGCGAATGGTGAAAAGGATGAGGAAAGGTCTGAAGGGCACCTACTAGCAGTGGTAGTTGAAGGCAACATTGATAATCTTTTCACAGAAAAGAACAGTGCCGCTCAAACTAAACTTGGCTAGTCCTGCAGAAAAGTAGGCAAGGGTAAACCACTTCTGAATTTTCTTGCCTTACAAACCCTAGGATGAAACAAGTCAAAATGAAACAAGAGAAATACCAGGAGATCAGACTCCCAGGTCAGAAGGCACTCAACTAGCTACTGGGGAAGAGCAAAGGACAAGTCTGAATAGCACTGTTGATAATGATGAAACCAGATCAAAATGCAGAGAAGGGAAAGGAAAGTCCAGTGCTGCACAACTGGAACATGAATAGTACGAATAAAAGCAAACTGGAAACCATAAAGCAAGAAATGGAACATTTAAACATTGCAGTACTTTGTGTGAGTGGACATATTTAGTCAGAAAAACACACAGTGTTTTACTCTGGAATAACAAACTCAGAAGAAGCCGAGTGGCTCTAATAGTGAGGCACGATGTAGCGCAGGTTATAAGGGGTTGTAACAGAAAAGTCCAACAGAATCAAACCAGAAGTTCTTCTTGAAGCAAAAATTATGTGTGTCAGGCACATCCTGAGAAGGCCAGATTCACTGGGGAAGACCATCATGCTGGGAAAAGTTGAAGGTAGAAGACAAAAGTGAAGACCAAATAGGAGATGGATTGAATCCATATAGGAAGCCCCAGCCTGGAGCTTGGGAGAGCTGAATGGCGCTCAGTTCCAGTCACATCCTTGAGTTTCCAAGAGCTGAGCAGGGCTGGGAAGGGCAGGCCATTTGGAGGACGTCCATCCATAGTCCTGCCATATGACCTGACGGCACATAGCAACGACGACGACAAAGCAGGACGTCTTGTCCATGGATCCTTCTTGCCTTCTCATGACGTGCTCGAGGTGCGGCAGCTCCAGCATGGTCGCGTTTCCTTTCCACTGAAATTTCTGGCTCCTTTGATCCAGACCCGACTCGCCTGAGCTCAAGGCGGGCTACCGCCCAGCCAGGGCCACGCAGGCTGCAGCGCCCTACGCACCGTGGCGCCCTGCAGAGCAGAACAGGGACCGCCGGGGACCCCCCGCTCTCGGCGCGGCGGTGCAGGCTCCGTCCATGACCGCAAACGCACGCCCGGCCCCCGCGCGGAACCGGCGGCGGGCAGACGCGCTCCCCCGACCAGATACCCCATGTTGCTAAGCTACTGCGACGTAGCCGCTTCTGCGCAGGCGCGTCGCCTTTCCTGCGCGTCACCGGACGCGCAGAACCATAGACGCCTGGGCAGCGGCTTCCCACTGCGCATGCGGAGTACGCGGAGCGCCGCTCCGGCCGAGGTGGCGTTTCAATAAAGTTTCAACAAGAGCGGGCGGAGCTCGTGCCCCGCCCCCTCCGGGTTCGAGTGGGAGGTGGCCCGCGGGCCCGGGGGCCAATCGGAGCCCGCGCCGACGCGCGGGGGGCGGGCGCGTCCGGTGTCGGGGCTGGAGCGTCATTGGCCGCCGCGCCCGCAGACAGCCATCGGTGCTGAGGGGAAATGAGCCGCTGACCGGGGCGGGTGGGCGAGCGGTCGGTTCCGCCGCAGCCGAGCAAGGCCAGGCCAGCCTCGCCTCGCCTCGCCTCGCCTCGGGATGTCCGGAAGCCGGCCGCCGCCCCAGCACCCTCCGGCCGGGCCGGGCGCCGCGGGCCCGCCGGGGTCGTCGTCGTCCGCCGCTGCCGCCTCCTCCGCCGTCACCACCTCGGCCTGCTCGGCCGCCTCTCCGGCGCCGGGCTCCTCGTCGTCGCCGTCGCCGTCGCCCGCCGCCTCGGCGCGGCCCGTTCTGGTGGCGGTCGCCGTCTCCGCGTCCTCCGGCGGTGGCCTCTCGCGCCTAGCGCCGCGCGCCTTCGCGGGCAGCGGCGCGGCCGGCGGCAGCGGCGGCACGAGCGGCAGCAGGAAGAGGCCGCTGCTCACCCCGCTCTGCAATGGCCTCCTGAACTCCTACGAGGACAAAAGCAACGACTTCGTGTGGTGAGCAGCAGCGGCGGCGGCGGGGCGGGGGGAGCCGTGCGGCCCGGCCTGGGGCGCGCGCCTTGGGGGGGAGGGTACGTGCGCGCGCCGCGCTCTCCGAGCCCAGAAGCGCACCTGAGGAATCGGTGCTTCGTGCTGCACTTCTGTTCCGCTCTGTTTCCTCCTGTGGGAAAGCCGAGGTGGCTCGCACAGCCCTCCGTTTTATCGTTGCAACAGCAAGGTGGTGAAGCAGGTGCACCTGGGCGTGGGTGGCGGGTCCAAAGCCACCGGGGAAGGCCCTTCGCTGAGTGGGTGCTGGAAGCCAGAACCATGCCTCCAAACCCTGCAGCGCCCTGGTGCTTAGCAAGCACCCTGTAGGCTCAGAGAGAGTCTGTGCCTGGCCTGTAGTCACCCAGGGAACTTCATGGGGACTAGAAGCCAGATTTCCTCGGTTCCTAGTGCAACACTCTAATCACCACCATGCTGTACTGGATCTTTTGTCTGTTCGGTTCCAAATGTAGAGGAGGAGGAAGAGGTAGTGGTGGCGATGATGATGATGAGACTTGCCTACCTTGCCGGATTGATGAAAGGTTTACAAAAACGGAGGATCATGGTGAATTCTGAACACCCCAGAAAAAGGCTGAAGACTTAAGAATCTTTGCAGCTGCCTTGTGCTGCAGATAGACCATGGGGGGCTCGGTTGGGTCCAAGAGATGGAGGGGTTTGCCTGGTGTCACCCAGTGAATTCATGGGAGAGGTAGCATTTGAAATCGCGACTTAGGGCGAGTTTGCATAAGTGGATGCGTATAACTTCTACACTGACAGTAATCCATAGGGTTATTCACTAGTAAGTGTGTTTAGGATTGAAGCTTTCATCCCTGTGTGCACAAGTTATTTATTTATTTATCTATTTATTTAGGAGACTTCTATGCCGCCCTATTCGCCAAAGCCTCAGGGCGGCTCACATCCATAAATAAAGTTCCATAGAATAATATAAATTAGCAGTATAAATTAAGTTGCCCTGGCCAAAGAATAAAATGCATTAATACTATTAACAATTAAAATGACATTTGTATAAAAAGGTCTTCTCCTGGTGCTAAAAAACAAATGACAGCGCCAGGCGGACCTCTTTGGGGAGCGCATTCCATAGATTGGGCGCAACCGCAGAGAAAGCCCTCCTCTGAGTACTCATCCTCCTAATTTCCTTCACGGAGGGTTCCCGGAGAAGGGCCTCTACCGCAGATCTCAGGGGGCATGCGGGCATATATGGACGTAAGCGCTCCTTCAGGTAACCAGGACCCAAGCTGATTAGGGCTTTATAGGTAATCACCAACACCTTGAATTGGGCCCAGACTTCAGTGGGAAGCCAGTGAAGCTGACGGACGACTGGACTCATGTGAACATAACGCCCAGTCCCCATCAGCAGCCTGGCAGCTCTATTTTGAACCAATTGAAGTGTCCAGACCATCTTCAAGGGTAGCCCCATGTAGAGCGTGTTACAGAAGTCAAGTTGGGAAGTCACCAATGCATGTGTCACTGTCGCCAGGCAGTTGTACTCCAGGTAGGGACGCAGCTGATGGATTAGCTGAAGCTGAAAGAAAGCGCTCCTTGCCACCGCTGTCACCTGAGCTTCCAGTGAAAGCTCTGGGTCGAGGAGCACTCCCAAGCTGCGAACCTTGTCCCTAAGAGGGAGTGCAACCCCATTCAGGACTATGTTCAATTCACCCTCCCCAAAGTCCGATCCACCCACCAACAGGACCTCGGTCTTGTCTGGATTGAGCTTCAGTTTATTGGCCCTCATCCAGCACATTACCTCGGCCAGGCACCGGTTCAGCACAGCCACTGCCTCACCTGGATTGGTGGAAAACGAGAGGTAGAGCTGGGTATCATCAGCGTACTGATGATTCTGCAGCCCACACCTCCTGATGACCTCTCCCAGCGGTTTCATGTAGACGTTAAACAGCAAAGGGGACAAAATGGACCCCTGCGGTACTCCATGGCATAACTGCCATGGTGCAGAGCCATAGTCCCCCAGCACCGCCTTCTGGAATCGGCCATTGAGATAGGAGCGGAACCACTGCAAAGCAGTGCCTCCGACCCCGAATCCCGCTAGCCTATCCAGAAGAATACCATGGTCGATGGTATCGAAAGCCTCTGAGAGGTCCAGAAGAACCAACAGGAACGCACTCCCCCTGTCCTTCTCCCTGCACAGGTCATCATACAGGGCGACCAAGGCAGATTCAGTACCGTACCCGGGTCTGAAGCCGGACTGAAATGGGTCCAGATAATCAGTTTCATCCAAGAGTGCTTGGAGTTGTCCCGCCACCACCTGCTCCAACACCTTGCCCAGAAACGGGATGTTGGCCACTGGTCTATAATTGGTGGCCATCTCTAGATCCAGTGACGCTTTCTTCAGGACCGGTCGGACTACCGCCTCCTTTAACGGGGCAGGTACCTGACCCTCCCTCAGAGAAGCGTTAACCACTTCCAAGGTCCAGATCCCAATCCCGTGCTTGGCGTTGTTTATTAACCAAGATGGGCAAGGGTCCAATAGGCAAGTACTGGAACATATTCGTCCAAGCACCTTGTCCACATCATCAGGCCACAATAACTGAAATTCGTCCATTAATTTTGGACCAGACGGTGACATTGGTATCTCCCCAGAAGCCTCTGAATCACTAGTAGAGTCTAGCTCATGACAAATCTGAGTGATTTTCTCCCTGAAATGCTTGGCAAAGTCGGCACAGCTGGCCTTCGAGGGTGGAACCAGATCTTTCTTAGGGCCAGGGCGGACCAGGCCTTGTACCACTCAAAAAAGCTCCGCTGGACGGCATTTTGAGGAGGCAATGGAAACGGAAAAGAATTTCTTTTTCACCGCCCTCACCGCCACAGCATAGGCCTGATAATGGGCTCTTAAGTGTGTTCACTCAGGTTCATCCCATGATCTCCTCCACCTACGCTCTAGCCGTCTCCCAGCCTGCTTCATCACCCGCAATTCAGATGTATACCAAGGGGAAGAGTGGGCTCTGCCTGGCGGGGAAGGACGCTTAGGAGCGATCGTGTCAACAGCCCTAGTCATCTCCCCATTCCATAGTTCGACCAGAGCCTCGACAGCAGCACCAGTCTCCCCCAGGGCCTTCAGGAATCCATCCTGATCCATCCGGCTCCTGGGGCGGACCCACACAATCGGGTCTGCACTCTTACAGAGGGAGAGGCCGCTCTCGAGCACAAACCTCACGAGGAAGTGATCTGACCATGACGGGGTGTCAGACATAAATTCCTCACCCTCAGACCACCCTCTTCCTGCCCCGTTGAGAAAACCAGGTCCAGAGTGTGTCCACATTCATGGGTCCGTTCGTTCACGTTCAGTTAATGGCAAGTAATAGTTTATGCTTATCAGTACGTTTGGTATTCAGAGTGCTTCGCGCGCATTACTGCAGGTAACATTACAATAACTTTATAAGAAAGGGTAATATAATGCTGATATGTTAGAGGAGTGTGACATTGATTTGGATATTGAGGTAACCTTCATGCCACCAAGCATGCAATTCTGTGTCTTCTAGACACTGTGTGGACTGCCGGAGGAAAAGTTGGAATCCTCAGTCCAACCTTGGAAAAGATTTCCAAGGCTGGAGCTGGGACTTTGGAGCTGGTCCTGGTGTGGGGCATTCTGGGGGAGAGTAAGGCATGACAGCTGGATCTTTCCTCTCCTGCAGGTATAAAATGGATGGCTGGCATAAGTTGCTGGGAGGGAAGCATGGGTGCAGTCCTCACCTTTGTGCTCTTCCAAGGTTGAAGGTTTATAGGCAGCCTCATGGGATTGTGCTACCCAGTGACACAGATAGATTTGAACTGGGGATAACTTGCGTATGCTTGCAGAATGCCTCAAAATGGAATGGATGAAGCAGCTCCCACTTACACTAATCTCTGGCTAGAATAGTCATTAACTGGTGGACATGTGTGCATGAGCTATGGAAAAACAGGAGAAGCACAGTGGTATGGGTAGGTGAGTTCTACTAGTATCTGCATCTCCCTTTATGGGAGGCATTTGTCCACATTAGGAAAGGTTATCTTCTTTTGGTGGACCATGCTCTTTATTTAAAATGAGGATATGTTAATAATTTTATCCAGTTTATTATTTCTGTTGAAATCTTGCCTATTATGGATGAAGAGACTCTCTTTCAAACCATTTGTGTGTGTCTAGCTAGTTTGAAATACTCAGAATTCTTCATCAGAAAGATAGTCCATTATCAGAAATGCTCCACAAAGGCTGCATTCAGATAGTGACATTTTGGCACACATGTTCTCCTTCCTCTCTTCTTGGTCCACATGAATGCAATATGAAAGTCTCCAGTTAACCACAGTTTCCCATTTTGCCTAAAGTGGGAGTCTGTGACTACTAGCTTCAGAACAAGCCATGATCTTAAACTGTAAACTATGATTTTGTAATTCTGGATTATTTGTATTGCAGGTCATTAAGCTGAGAAGCGATTGTCCAAACCATACCAAAAACCTCTGTGTAATTCACGAAAGTTGGCATAAAAAGTTTTTTTGGTGAAAAATGTTTGTAGTACAATAGCTTTGTATCACAAACTTGTATGGCTAGTATATATTTCTTTCCTTATACTGGATGTAGTTTTATATTGCAATATGTGTTTTGCCTTAGTATGCTTCCCCTGTTAACTGCAGAGCATTTGCCCTGAAGCACTGTTCTGTGTTCCAAGTTCTTCATGGAACTTGGATATACCCTCATCCTTGTTTTATGCTTGGAGTAGTTAAAGCAATTCTGATCTTCTGTTTTATGTGCAGAACAGAACAGCCTTTCAAATAAGCCCATAAACGTTACTAGCATATAAACAATTTTACTACTTTGCTGTGGTGGGGCTGGCAGAGGAGGCAAATAGAACTGTATTTCTGTGCTGGAGATGAAAAGTTGGGCTTCCTTTTTCTAGCATCCTGGTTAGTTTCTGTGCCGGGTGCAACAAGGGACCAGTTTTTCCATCCCTTCTCCATGTATTCCGACACATACTTGCATGCTGGAGTTACCACTTTCCTGCTCCAAGATGTAGCGGTGGTTAGCTTTAAAACTCTATATGGGCAACAACGGTGAAGGAACTTTCACAGATAAGAGCAGTGACGTTCAAGTTAGCCCTTCTTACTAGGGCACGGAAGAAGGCCATGGCAAAGGTAAGAAGGCATCAGAAGATTTCAGAACTGTCATCCTTTATAGAGCCTATGATGAAAGAATCCAAAGTGAGATGAGAGATAGTGCCAGAAGATCAGGCTCCCAAGTCAGAAGACACTCAAACAGCTACCAGGAAAGAGCAAGGGCAAGTATGAATAGTTGTTACTAACGACACAACTAAATCCCAGCTGAAAGGAAGTCTAGTGGCCAGCATGCAGAGGCAGAAGGAAAGAAATTGGAACACGAGATGTATAGAGGTTGTGCAGATGAAACACAGGATGTGAGAAATATGGATCAAAGTAAACATGAAAAGTTGCAAGTGGACTGGAATGGGTCGTTTTCAGTCAATAAAACAAAGTGTTTTACTCTGGAAATGACCAACTCAGAAGAAATTGAGCAGCTCTAATACTGAGGCAAGATGTAGTACAGGCAGTAAAGGGCTTTAATGCAAAGTCTGATGGGTTCTCAAATGATTTTGGGATAAGGTTGAGAGGAAGTGAGCCCGAGGAAAGGTTTAATACTGTCCCCCTTCTGTTCTTAAAACTACCTCTCTCCCCCACCCGCTTTGTGATTGGGGCGAGGCCCAAGTTCTGCTCTTGTCCTATCTGGACCTTAAGGATTTAACTTTCAAACACCTGTCACTGTAACGCCGACTGTAGCCTGCATTTAAAATAATGTAAAGTGAAGTCGATGTCCCTTAAGACTAGCTACATGAGTGCAATCAGAATGAGAGTGGTGGGCATATGCCTCTGTACTACTTTTTCAAGCTAGTTCTTCAGCGAATGATTATTCTGTTTTGCATTAGTGTTGGCAATATTAGAAAATGAAGCTATAGAAACCAAGGCAAGTTGTAGAGGCGGCAGAGAGTCCTTGTTTCTAGCCTTCCTACTGCCTGCTTTTTGCTCAGAAAGCAGGGTTGGGGTGCTGTCCTCCTTTTGCATTAGTCTCTTTTATGAGAAAAAATTCAGCAGGTCTGGATGGGTCAGTGCTTGGATGGGGGCTTGCCTTGTGCCCGGTGGTATCTGCAGTCTGTGATGGACGAAAGATGGGATTTCAGTGCACAAAGCAAAGTTGCCGCCACCCCTGTGTTATCTAAGTGGCTAGTCTCATTCTTGCAAAGATGGTCACTGCTGTTAAGAATTTAAAGGAGGAGCTAAAAAAGGTTGTTTGTCGTTAGTGGGATTTGTTTACAGATCATTCTGTTTCTCTGCTGCAGTTGCCCCTTGTTGAATTTTGATGCTCAAATTGAGGGAAAATCTATTTCTTTAGGTAGAAAACTAACTATGTGAAATTCTGTTGGTGAGCTAAATTCCTTAGCATGTATTTAAATTCTGATTATCTAAGGGCTGCGATCCTGTACACATTTTGACAAGAAAAAAATCCTATGATCCTCAGCATGCCACAGCCAGGCAGGCTGCGAGCTGCAGGACTCTTTGTTCCGGTCTAAATATGCCCAGGTTTGTGCCTGAAATCAGGGAGGCAACCTGGTGTCCTGCAGATGCTTTAGATTACAACTCCTGCAAGCCCTGGCCAGCATGCACAGTGGTTAGGAATTATGGCAGTTGTGATCCAAAGCAACTGGAGGTTGCCCGCTCTGCGGATGACTGGCTTATGTCGCCAAAGTAGCAGTTACTACATTCAGTAGAAAATGAACTGAAACATTTTCAGTTTTTAATCTGTTATTGTATTTAAAATCTTCGCATTTCTTCTACATTTTTAATTTGCATTTTATACTGTACTTTTTAATTTTAGAATATTTATACGATACAATATAAATTTTATATGGCTGTACCGTATGGCTGTAACAGGGACACAGGGCTATTCTGTGAAGAGTTCCTGGAACATTTGCCTTGAGGTTGCTGGGTGTATATTTGCAAATATGGAAATGTCAGAAAAATCTCTTCAGTGTAGCGAAATCCTGATTGTGAAGCATCTAGCATTTTTTCATAGGAAGTGTTTGGGCTTGTATTTGCCTTCTGAAAGCGTGCGTGTGCTCACGTGGCTCAGGGACGCGGTTTGTGCAGCGCAGGCATCTGTTGTGGGTCACTGCCCATGACTGGCTATGGCGCTGTGGGAGCCCAGGGCGATTTCCACAGGCTCTCCCAACAAGCTTCCCTGACATGCCCCTGATAATGTGATCCTCTGGCTTTTAAGTGTTGGCCTGGCAGTGCTCAGTGTCCTCTACCTTTGCTGCGCTTCCCTGACTCTCCAGCTGCTCCAGAAAGGGTCTAGCTTCCCACCCCTTCTTGCTGGTCCTTCTCAGAGCATTCACTCCAGTAGTTGCCATGGTGGGCTGACAGTTAAAGGAACAAAGCTCAAGACTTAAGAAGGCAGCTCCATGAAACAGAGTGAATGGGCCCCCATGGGGGTGAGTAGGTGTGAGCACTGCTAGAACCCCATTTTGCTCTATCCTGTTTACTTTGCACTTGTTTCCTGAGCTGTGAAGTAAATGGAATGGAAATGCATGCCAGTTTAATGGCCAGGAATTAAATGGAGACGTAATTTGGGCACCTGTAGTAATGAAGCTGTAAATGCAGGTCTGCAGATTTTCCTGTTATTTACTTACCAGTCATTCATTGTCTGTTTCCAAGTTTGCTAAAAAACAAAAACAAAAAATACAAACCAGCAAATATTCCTGATTGTCTTAAAAGAAACAGGTGGCAGAATGGGATGGGGTGAATGTGATGCCAGGACCAGTGGTAGCTCTGCTCCCCACAAGGGGCCCAATTCACTCTGTCCCATCTAGCAGCTCCCACGGTTGGCGGGGGAGCATTTTGTTTGTTGTTTTTCTGGAACTCAGTGAACAAAAGGATTGCAGTAACTGCAACAATGAGTGCTCCCAAAAGGGAGAAGTAGTATCTTCCCTTTTTCACCTAGCTGCGGATTTGGGGAAATGTTGAAAAGGAGGCGGGCACACTAAACTACCCTGGCTTAATGTGTTGCATGAACCCAGTTGGTGGCTAGGCTCTCTTGATAACACGGCGAACAAAAAGCCACAGTGGTTGATTTTCCCTTTCTGCAAGAGCAGGTTGCAAGCGGCATAACTAGCACAATTACTTTTGCCAGCACAGGCTGTTGTGACGTGTGAATCCAGCACCAGTGGGTGGCTGGAGTGGTTTTAGAACCACCCGACAGCCCTTGCTTATTCAAGGCTTGCATGTCATGGCACCTGGCGAGGCCGTGCATACTAATTAGGCAGCTTGTGGCTGGCATGCATAAGGAAGGAACTTATGATTATTACATCATGTTTATACCTTGCCTGAGTGTGAGGCTAACAAAGTTCTCCTCCTCCCCATGCTATCTTCACAGCAACAACCCTGTGAGGTAGGTTAGGCTGAGTGTTGAAGTGAAAAGGGCCGTTCCTCATTATGCACATTCCCAAGGCATGCTGATTGGGGTGAGGAGGTGGCGGCGGCGGCAGCAGGGGGAGGCCTCAGAATGTGAGCCATTTCCAGACATCGAGATGAGGGGGGCGGAAGCACTTACCGGAAGGCCAGGCTTCCCCAAGTGCTCAGGCAGCCTCTGGGAATAACCAAGATGTGCAGCTGCGGAAAGGGGGAGTTTCTCAGAGACAGACAAATCGAGCATGGCCCTCGGCCCCTTGATGCAATGTTGGCAGAGGAGAGCTGCCCAGTGGGAGGACTGGCATGCAAGAGGAGATGCACTCGTTTTCGAAAGCCCCCTCCTGAAAGGATGGGGCCCAGGCATGCTCATTAGGAGCATTCCTAGAAGTCAATACAAGAATGGATCCCGGGAACTGCGCCGCACGTGCTCAGAGATTCTTTCCGGGGGATGGCACTTCTGGACAGTGCTTTGGTCAATGGACAACATTTTGCAAGGAAGGCCTGTGGCTTTGAACGTGCAAAGGGGGGAAACCCAACTCATGACAGAGAATCCGTGACTGTCCCAGGGTCACCCAGCGATGTTTATGACTGAGCAGTAACTCAAGTCCAGGTCTCCTGAGTCACAGTCCTATCCTATTACCACCGTGCCACTCTGGCTTCCACTGGGACTTGTTTTCCCTCAGTGGTTGTGTGAACCCAGACAGTATTTACTTCTGCTCTTTCTCATATTATAAAAGGAAAAAGAGAGAAATTACCAGCCAGAGAACACTGGGCAGATTGGAAACATAAAAATAAGAAATAAAATAATTCTTGCTGTGTTTGCTCAGCCAGGTGAAATCCATGAAACTGCTTGGATGTGTAGATCAGTGTCCTGGTGAAAGAGGGACAGAAAAGAAAAAATAGCAGTCAGTCAGCAGTCAAGTTGAATTTGCTTGCTTGTAGGAGTTAAAACCATCCCACAGTGCCTCCAAAGCAGGACTGTATCTCCAAAATGCCTGTTTGCAAACTCTTTGTTTTCCCATTCCTGCAAGGTAGAAAGGGAGAAGTTTCTCACAGCGCTGCACGTATCACTTGGTAGCCTGGAACCAGTTCCTCCCCTTTCTGGACAAGTAAGATTTCAGGCCATTATAAAAGGATTCCAGACTGTTTCGTATGAAGTTATTTGATTCTGCTAATTATTCTTGTAGTTCTGTGGTTAGCAATAATAACAAACTAATAGGGACTGATCGTGCCTGGTTTCATTTAACATATTTTGACTGTTTTGAATGTATTTACTATAGTACTAAAATATTTTCCCCCCCTTTCTAGCCCCATCTGCTTCGATATGATTGAAGAGGCGTATATGACAAAATGTGGGCACAGCTTCTGGTAAGATTTGGCAACAAAACTGCATAGCATAAAAGACGTATTTATAAAGTTAAAAGTCATGAGCTAAGGTTAATTACTTGCGCTTAGTTGATGTGGTGGTTTTGGCATAAAAGGCATGGAATGACATGTTCTGAATTAACATTTTAATGGGTGCGTCCTTGTGATAACTTTAGGATTTATGTTGACCCTAAACAGGGTGCTAGAGCCAACTTTGGCTGCATCTTCATAACTTGAATTTCCTACATAAAAGCTATGCATCTCTGTGCTTGTGATGTAAATATTGTGATATAAATGCTTACAGTTGTTTGCCAAAAGGGTGAAATGAACACTACTTAGCAGTCTGTTTAGGGCCGTCCGATGCAATATTTGTGTCAATAAACAAATTGGGGACTGAGGCAAAATAAGGAGCTACATCAGGGTTGGATGGTGGGATAAGGCCCTGCGATAAAGTAGGTTGAAGCGCCAGTATTTATTGGTCCTTTTATTCTAATACCGGTTTGTGAGTGTGGATTACACGCTTTTACCCATCTTCCTTTAGTGGTTTCTGCTCACTGGGTGGCGGGAGGGGTTCCTCGGTCTCTCGGTGTTTGTGTGCACATACCCTCTACCCGTAGTTTGATGCAGCGCTTGCTCCCAGGACGTGCTGTGTGGAGCAGCAGTGTTTAAGGAGGAGCTGCATGTTGGCCAACGCAGAACATCCCGAGCTGGTAAGGGAGCCTGGTTTATCCTCCTCTTTTGCATCTGGGCAGTGGAAATTCATATGGACATCCCAACCTCCTGAAATGGTTAATGGTGTAATCCTTCCTAAACGGAGCCCTTAAATTCGGGGAAGGAGGGGTTTATCAACGTGTATAACGTCTCCCGTGCCCTCCAGATGCTTTGTATGACAAGTCCCAGTGTTTCTGCCATTTCCTGTGCTAGTTGGGGGCAGTGCAAGTTGAAAACAAAAGCATCGGGAGGGGAAAGCTAACACATCCTCACAAAAAGTCTTAACCCATGACCAGAAAATCTCATGTAATTACAAATTGGATGCGGGTCTCTTAATTATTTCAAAATAGTTTTGCTTTGTCTTGCTGATTTCTTGGATAGCCAGATCTGACAGTGTGGTAGAGATGGCGTGTGAGTGTTCTGTTCTTGATACTAGCTTTTTAGCTGTTAACTCCAGCGTCATGATGGCAGACAGCAGCAGAAAGAAGATTCTGAAATAAAGTTCTTTAACTTCTTTGGAACTCTGGTCACCATTGAGTTGCATCTAATTTACTCCATTGACAGCTTCTAACCATGCAAACCATCAAATGAAGCATAGTTTTTTTCAGTTCCTGGTTTGTTTCCTTTTTTCTGCTTCCCTCCCTTTACAAGGCTGTAGTTCTTGGATAAAGAGCAGGTGTGTGTGTGTGTGTGTGTGTGTGTTACCACTGGTGCCAGTTGCCTCTGGTGAAGCAAATCATGACAGTCCACCGTTGTGGGTTCACATGCAACAGGGACTCATAGTTTGGGTGACACAAAATGTATGTGTTGAATATTGGGTCATTGTTGAATTGTGGGTCGTTGTGTGAACTGAGCTACTTTAACAGATTCTGAGGCATAGTATGAATTTCTTAAAATTCCTGAGTGCCATCAAACTTTTAGCTGCCCAGATATTCCTTCCCTCCCTTTCTTTCTCCTGTATTTTGTAAACATTTTTGAAGCCAATATGTCTGTATTACAGTCGGTACATAATCTAAGAAATGCTAAATCTGAGAAACCTGCTTTGCATCGGAGCAGTTGCAAAGGTGATGATTCGATACAGAGTACCTGCAAGCATCAAATAAGGTGTTGCCTTCTTTTGCCCTGTCTCTCATTTGGTAATTGGCCTTAACTTGGAAGGCTGAAGCATAAGGTTAAAACAATATGGACTTTGCCCTTTATATCAGACAGTCTGTCACAGCCCCACTTCCTGATGCAACAGGCAAAACTAAGAAGTAATAGCATGTCATGCAACTTATCCAGTGACTCCTCTCCTGAATAACCGTGCAGAATGTTTTGCAGAGTCTGTTTTGTTTCTTACAGTTTTCTTTGTTTTGCTTTTCTTTGGACAGCTATAAATGCATTCATCAAAGTTTGGAGGACAACAACCGATGTCCCAAATGTAATTATGTTGTGGATAATATTGACCATCTTTACCCCAATTTTTTAGGTAAGTCTTAGTGTTTGTTGGTTATACAGTATTGAAAAAATTGTATTCTGACTAGGTTTTTGGTTAAAAAGTATCATATCACCCAAGAGTTTGCTTCCTTACCTAAGTTTAATTCCAAGGATGAGGTCTGACCTGCAGGCAGATTGTGTCTATAGGTATTTTCCAGTTTAACCACTAGAGGGAGAGCATGCTTATGAAAGTGTGCCCAGGAAACCACTTGTGCAGCTGCTTTGGGTTATTTCTTGGTGGCATCATTGATGGCATTGGTGCTGCGGCTGAAGACGATGACAGTGAAGAAGAGGAAATGAAAGAAAAAGCCCTGTGATATGGAAATTACTTGCACGCTAAGGATGGGATCTTTGCAAAGCTGTAAGCGATACAGCTGAGATAGTCTGTGATGGGCCCCATGCTGTGAAACAAATCATTTTTGAGAGAGAACCTGCATGATTCCATAATGCTGTGTGGTAATAGTATCACATGTGTAAGCTTCACATTTGATTTTGCTGTAGGTTAGAGAGACCATTAGATCTAAACTAGGTATAATGTAGTTGCTAACCACGATTTAAAATCAGGGACTCAAACATGTTAAATATTAGGTACTTTCCCCATCTTCAATTTTCAATGAAGCCATTGCATGGGGGAGAAGCAGATCAGCCCCTCTTTCCCAAGCCATGACCTCAAGAATTATTCCACTGTGCTGGGAATAGTATTAGAAGGGAAGACCATACCTTTGGCATCAGTAAGAACACCCCGCCCCTGGTCTAGTTTTAACACACATGGGTTCATATGTGTAATTTATCAGGATTGTTCAGGTATTTTGGTGGGGGACCTTATTAGAAGTTATCTGTTAGCAAGTGAGCTGTGGGCCTTTAATCTAGTGTTTGGCACATCCCCCCCCCCTGAAAAAAACACAAGTGCCATATCTGGGAAGTAAATGTAGGCGAAATGTGTGCTCTTTAATTTATTTATTTATTTATTTATTTATTAAAACATTTTTATGCCGCCCCATTCGCCAAAGCCTCGGGGCGGCTTACAACCATAACCTCTTGCAGGTCATTGCTCTGGGAAAATGTGTGTGTGTGGGAGGATTAGTATCTCATGTTCTTGGAGTAACTGAAGTCTAGAAGTGTCAAAAAGGTAGAAGCCATTGTGGGCCGTCGATTAAAATTGAGACGGTCGCACTGCCACGGGGGTGATAATCTCCCGACTCCCCTTTGGTGTGCCTTTGTTCTCTGCATTCTTGCCCAAGTCAAGTCTCTGTCAGCTGTGTGCAATTAGCCTATATACAGTCTCTTCTTGCATCAGGTAGCAATTAAGTGCGCACTTGAGCACCTGTGAAAGACCGCCCAAAACAACAGCAACAAAGCAATTTTCAGGAGTTGATTTTTTAAAAAAAGATTGCAATTGTACCTTGTAATGCCTGAAAATATTTTCAAGTATCAAGTAAAAGTAATAGAAATCATTACCAAGTAAACCTTTAATTTTGTTTGCAAGTAATATTTAAACCGTGCTTCATTGTTGACTTCATTGTCTCCTTCATGGAATATTTCCAATCACATTCTTCTGCCTAGTGGAGAAAATCATACATTTGTATGGCATGTAAAAAGGATAGGTAATATTTCCCTGAGTGTACCAAATTATCCACGCAGTCCAGTGGTCTCTGGTTGGGAATAGAGTCATCTGGTGTCTCCTTCCCTGCCTCTCCCACAGGTCTGTCGCCAGTCCGCGTACGCAGCTGGGGCTTTGCACAGTGAAGCAAGTGGCTCCACAGCCTCTCCAGCACATCCCCAGTGTGCCTTGTTCCCCCCACCCCAGCTGGGGAGAATTGGCTGACACTGGGGGTTTCTGTGGCAGCTGGGAAGAGGTTCTGAGGCCGAATTTCTTTCCAAGGCCGGCCTTCTCTCTTCCGTGGTCTGATAGTCTTGTCATTGAGACGTTCTCCTGGTGCCTGTGGGACTGCAGTGTTAATTAACCCCCGAGGCTCTTGCGAATGGGGCCCCATAGAAATGTTCCAGATAAATAACTAAATAATAAATTTCCTCTCTGCTCACCATTTACAGGCATTTATTTGCCTTTGCATTGAACAATGTATGAAAATAGGTATGCGAGAAACATGGTGCATGACCCTTTCATGTATCATATGATGCTGCCCCAAGGGCAGTTCAGAAAGTTGTCTTGAGTTATTTTGGGGAAATGGTCGACCTTTGGATGATAATGAAGCCAACAATCCCTGCAAAAACAGCTCACCAATACCATGAAAATTAAAAGCAGCTTTATCCCCTTTTCTGTAAGTGCTGAATGAAAGTGTAAGTGAACTGTATACATTGATTTTTTAAAAACCTTTTCCCTGTTATTTCCCAGTAGTATGACAGCTTATTGAGTAGGGTGTTTCATAGTTCCGGACTATGGGAGGGGAATGATTTACTCTGAAAAGGTAGTTGCTGGCTCCCCAGGGAATGCATGTCCCACGTTCTGTGGAACAGACCTAGGAGTACTTCAGAAAGTGTTGTGATTTGTTCAGCGATCCCAAGTTGTTACTTGCCTCATTTTTCTGAATTTTTGCTCCTCATTTCAGGAAGTAGGGAAAGTGTTTTGGGCTGCGCTTGGTATGTGGTAATCTGGTGATGCTCCAGCGCGCTCCTTGTGTGCCTCATCAGTTGGTACTTAGGTGCTAATGCTTCTGGAACTCAGTCACCTTCTTTTTACTAGCACGGGTGTCAGTTGAGAAAGGGATGGGGTAATATCACCATCATTAGGAAGATGGCTAGGCAATGGAAAAACAATGCTTGGACAGAGATGCAGGCATAGAGGAAAGCTGTGTTCGGTATTCACTGGGAATCTGTCGCCCCCCCCCCCCCCACGAAGGTTCCAGCCCAGCATTGTGATGGTAGCCCAGTGAATGTGAGAATTAGCCCGTATGATGTGGGTGTGTTATAAAGTGATAGCTTAGCTTTGGTTATTAAGTGTCAGGCATGCTTTCTTCTCACCTTCAGTTTCATGCTTAGTGCTTTAATGCCATCTACTTCTGCTACTAGTTGCAAAATTGAAACATTTAGGAGCTTCCTTCCTATCGATTTTTAGCTATTGCCATTTATGAAATCTAAGCTACTGACCTGATTGAGGAATGATGCTGAATGACCACGTGCTGAAATGCGAAAGTGCGGTAGACTTGACCTAACTTGTTCCTGTAAGGTGCAGTCCTGTGTATGTTTAGAAAGGAAAAAACCTGACAACTCCCAGCACTCCTCAGCCAAAGCCTATTGTGTCAGCTGTCAGTAGATTTGAATTTTTGTATGCATATGCGAAGCACACATGTGGTTAAAATGCTGGAGAGACCATATAGGTCAAACGTTTTGTTTTGATTGTTCAAGGCTTGACTTTATGCAGATTCTTTAGAACTTTCTTCCATAGAATGTGTGGCTTTCCTAGAGACCCTAAGAAGAGCCCTGCTGGATTGGGCAGAGGCCTCCTAGTCCAGCCTTCTCTTGACACAGAGGCCAGCCAGCTGCCCATGGGAAGCCCACCAGTGGCTCATGCGCACCTGCTGCAGCTGGTGGACTTGGCCTTTGTGCCTCTGACAGTAGGCAGGCCTAGCCTTACTCTCCCTAATTGTCCTCCCTTTAAACCCACCCAGGTCAGTAGCCTTCATTGCACCTTGTGGTACAGTTTCCATTGTTTAACTGTGTGCTGTGTGACAAACTTTGTTCTGTTGTGAATCAGCTCTGTGAGTTAGGGTAAGAAATTGCAGTCTAATGCTATGAAAGGGAGGGAAAAGGTCCCCTTACTCACTTTTCCACACCACGTGTAATTTTGTACACCTCTCGCATGTCTCCCCTTGTTCACCTTTTCTCTAAGCTAAACAATCCCAGCTGTTTTATACCTCACAGGGGAAGCTATTCCAACCCCTTATCATTTTATTTATTTATTTTGAATTTTGTATCCCGCCCTTTACAGTGTCTCAGGGTGGTGAGACAATTTATCATTTGAGTTGACTCTTTCTGCACCTTTTCCAACTCTACATTATTCCTTTATAGGTGCAGCAACCAAAACTGTACACAGTATTCTAAGTGCAGTCGCACCATAGGTTTGTTAGCGGACAATTATATATTGGCAGTTTTATTTGCAGTTCCCTTCCTAAGCATGCCTGACATGGAGTTTGCCTTTTTCACAGCAGCCATGTGCTAGGTTGATGTTTTCATTGAACTGTCCACCAGAATCCCAAGGTCTCTTTCTTGGTCTGTCACGCCTCGCTGGGATCCCATCAGCCTCATCATGCATCACTTTACCTTCATTTACGTTGAACCGCAGTCACTGTTTTAATACCCCCAGTTTTGGAGCACTTTGCAATCCCTTTTTTGTGATATCTACCCTAAGTAATTTGGTGTCATCAGCAAACTTTATCTACAGATGATTTATTGTAGACATAAAATGTTTCTGTATTAACAAAAGATACAAAGTCTTCTGGGAAGGCAGCAAAAGCTGAAGAAGTTTAGTTGCTTGAACTTCTCATTAGGATTGATTTCCTAGTAAGCTTTTGTCCAGACAGTGTGCATATGTCCCTGTGACTTCCATTTCCTTTTCTTTAGTGAATGAGCTCATCCTTAAACAGAAGCAAAGATTTGAGGAAAAGAGATTCAAACTGGACCATTCAGTGAGTAGCACCGTATGTCCAAATCTTCTTACTTTAATTTTATTTCCTGTCTTAAGTTGTAGTTGTAGTGTGTGCTTTTGTTGTTGAGGACAACAATTTTATTGTTAAAGGGTCAGGAGGACACGTTCCAATATCTAAGCATATGAGGAAGACTTTTCCTATCAGTAACTGCTCAGTCTCCAGGAGTCAAATATTATTTAGACGTCTAACTGTAAATTTATATTTTTTTTACTTGATTTCTATCCTGCTTTTCAGATAATCATCTCTCAAAGCAGGTCATATCAATAGGAAAAGAGATATAGGTCATGCCATCAGGCTTGCAAGCTAAAAACAAAGTGGAGAGGGTGGAAGATGACCGTGAAATGCAGAGTCAAAGATCTTCTTGTCTTTCTGATGCCACCAGCCTTTAGTATTCTGTTGCATCACAGGCTGAGACACTTGAACAGCAGGCCCAGTGATAGCCAGAGCACGTTGCACTTCTGAACGAACATCAGAAACTTGCTGACATTAAAGGGCCCGCAGTGTGTGTCACATGTGCTTGGTTGTGGGAATTTACCTAGCAAGGCTCCAGACACAAAGCAGGTACTGACATTGTTCCTTAATTAGGTTCCAAGCCAGCAAATGTTATGGATGCACATGGCATACCTTGTTAAAGTGTCTCAGCCTGGTCTTTTACCCCAGAATGTTTCCATCAGAATAGGTGTAATAAGTGTAAAGGTAAAGGTTTCCCCTTGAAATTAAGTCCAGTCATGCCTGACTCTGGGGGGGCTAAATGGGTGCAAATTGCAGAGGGTGCGCATTCTTGGGCCTGAATACCAAATCTGGCCTGTCTGGTGTCTCAGTCTGGCCCTCTGGGTTCTCTGGATCGCCATGGCTCCTTCCCCTGCCCCACCCCTTTTCCTCCAACCACTGATCATGCAGTTGTTTCCTGGCTTTTGTGCAGTACCCCCCACCCCCCCCACTCCCATTCTAAAAGGTTGAAATGCCTCTCCCATGGTTTAGTGGCTGGCAGTGAAAACCTTATACCTAAATAAGCTGGTACTTTTGGCAAGTTTCAGTGGCTTTCATGGTCTGAACTACTTTTGGCCATTTGTGGGCAGGGAAGCTCTGGCTGCCGCAGTTCCTGTACCGGTAATTTGATGAGGCGTTACTTGATGAGAAATTTCTGCAGTGCAGTCTACGTGGGCCTGCCATTGAGGATGGAACAGGAACTGCAGCTAGCACAGCACACGGTGGCTAGATAAGTTGCGGCTGGGTACACCGTCCAGAATCCCGAAAACATGGGCGGTAAAGGAATGTCGTTGGCTGCAGACCAAGGGTCATACAGTCCTGCTCTCACTGTGGCCAGCAAACTGCCCTGAAACTCACAAGCAGGACATGATTGGAGTAGGCTCCTTCCTCCCACGTCCCCCAGCAACTGGCTAGTTGTCGTTGGTAGTTTTATGCTCCATAAATTTGTCCAGTCCCCTTTTAAAGCCATCCGAGTGGGCAGTCATACTCCATAGCTGAACTGTGTGAGGAAGTGCATCCTTCTGTCTGGCCTGAGTTGCCCACGAATGAGCTTCATATTCTGGGTTCTAGTATCCTATGAGAGGGAGGAAGATGTCTCTCTTCCTGCTGACCTTATCCACATCATGCATAATTTTTGTATACCTCTGTTACGCCTCCCTTGCTCACTTTTGTCTAAGCTAATCAATTCCAAATGTAGCCTTTCTTCGTAAGGGAGCTGCTCCAGCCCTTTGATCATTTTATTTGTCCTTTTCTGCACTCTCTCCAGTGCCACAATGTGCGTTTGTAACATGTGGGGTCTGGAATTGTGCACAGTACGCTCAGTATGGTTGCACGATAGACTTATGTAAAAGGAATATGATCTTTCCAGTCGTTATTTTCAGCTTCCTCTCTAATTATACCTAACATGGAGTTTGCATTTTTCACAGGAGCTGTATAGTGAGCTGCTGCTTTCACTTGAGCCATAAGAGCCCTTTCTTGGTCAGTCGATGTTAACTCAGACCCCATTGACTTATTCTTGGAGCTGGAATTCTTTTTACTCCAAAGTGCGTCACTTTGCTGCACTTGTTTACATTGAACCTCATTGCCTGATCTTGATGGCCATTCTCCCAGTCTGGAGCGATCTTCTTGTGGCTCTTTGCCGCCCCTTTTTGCTTTAATCACCCTGCATAACTTGTTCTTTTCAGCAAACCTGACACTTGATTGCTTGCTCCTAATTCCAGGTGTATGAATACACTTCTGGTTCAACTGCAACATGTTAGTGATAGCATTGAAACCCTGAATGGTTGGGGCCCTTCATATTTGCTGAAGTGTATTACCTCTTCCCGTACTGAGATCTGCCAAGCACGCCCCTTCTTGGCTGTGGCTCCCCCTCCTCTTGGAGGCCCAGCTGGCACCAGTGCTGGACTTGTTCTGCCACCTAGTTGAGGCCTGGCTCTTTACCCTTTGAGCCTCCATAGGTCAGTTTTATTTATTAGTCCCATGGACTAATAATATGGAATACAAGTTAAATAAGTGTAATACATAATAAATATTTGCTTGGCATATTCCTGCTGATTTTATGTTGATGTTGAATGTAGTGGAAGGTAAATTATTATTGTTTCCATAGCTTTATAATGAATTGTTTAATTGGTTAATTTTATCCTACCTTGAGATCTGTTGACACAATGCAGATTAGAAATGTTTTAATAAATAATCAAGTCCTGCCAGTTTACTTTGTCTCTCTTCCCTGAAAATGACTTGGTGATTTGTTTATTTTCTCTCTTAGAATGGCCACAGGTGGCAAATATTTCAAGATTTGCTGGGTACCGATCAAGATAACCTTGATTTGGCCAATGTTAACCTAATGTTGGAGCTGCTGGTCCAAAAGAAAAAGCAACTGGAGGCAGTAAGCTTTTATTCCTTCTTCATAAACATGTTAAGAAACATTCTCTTTTGTTCAGTGGAATCCTAATTTAAAGCTGACCCTTGCCTGACCCTGTGACCCCAGAGAAGGTGTTGTGCTCTGTGCCCCTAATAATGCAAACTTGGAAATAACCATTAAGTGATAACCTGTAGTACATGTTCTAATTTTTATTTGATTTTGAGGTTGTATGGCTGCTTGGTACTTGCTGATTTATATATTTTTGAGCACTCTTGTGAGCTGCCACACATTTTATCATGGAGAGGTTGGATGCAAGTGTTCGAATAAAATAAAGTCCCGAGAATTCTCCCATCCCCCCACCATGCATACCTGGACCAGTTGATTCTGTGCACATGGATCACATGGGCAGGCAAACCAGGGAGTATTAGTGGGGCGATTGACTTCCTTGTGGACTCCTGTTTGCAAGACTGCACTATGTGAATGTTGATGTTGTACAATCTGCAATTCACCAAGCCAAACACAGCCCAGGAGAAAGGCTTGGTGGCCCGCCACAAAGCAGCCTCCGCCTGCATTTACTGTGGGTCTCTTGGAAGTACTGTGGTGCTCGCTTTCAACAGCACGCTTGGGAACAGGAAATGGGTCTTCATACTGGACCTTGGGGCTGGTGCAGGTAGCGACCTGGCAGCCCTCTGTGTCCTGCTGGATCAGACTGTCCAGTCCAGCGTTCTGCTCACGCTGCGGCCAGCCGGCTGTCCATGGGCAAGCCACGGGTGCAACCGCAGCCTCTCGCCCATGTTCCGCAGTGCCTGCTGTCCACAGCCATGCTGCCGGCATGGGCTGCCCCGGGGGTGGGTGCGTCATCCAAACCCAGGGCTGTTTTGGCAGAGCGGCTTGTTTTTGGCCAGCAAGCTGCCACCCAGGGAACCTGCAGTGCTGAACCGGGCCGGACATTTTCATCGCGGGCTGTGAGTGGCTTGGCAAGAACAGCCGGGGAGCTCGCCTCTCCTCCACAGCGGTTTCCCTCGGCCTAGCGACAGTCCGTCCTGCTGCAGCGTCGATCCTCCCGGGCATCCCACTCTCCCCACCAGGCCATTTTGCCACTTCACTCGCCAGCCGTCTTCTTTGTCACTGTCTGTCTGTCTGTCTGTCTGTCTGTTGGAGGCCAGCTGCGTGCAACCCACCCAGCAACCCTAGGACTCTGCTACTCTGCCAAGTTGTTTTGTCTTTGTCTGTGCTGCTTCTGCATGCCTGCCTCAAAATGCTTCAGACCCTTCTGAAGAGGCCCTTCCGGTTCTGCTGAAGCAGCACAGGCTCTGCTCAGAGCCACTCGGGGAGTCCGGGGTCTTCCTTGCAAGAGTTGCTGCTCATCGCGATCCTCCTCCCTGGCTCCACGTGTGTCAAGCTGAGCCGAACCCTGTCCGCTGCGGCTCGTGCCCCTGGTGCTCCCAGGCCGTGCGGGGCCTCATCGGCGCTTGCGTGACGCTTCTGGGCGCTGGGTTCCCCCGAGCGGCTCCCGCACACAGCCCCTGGGAGTCGCCGCCGTCCTCCCCGCAAGCTCCGGGCTTCGCCGTGTGTGCGCGCCACCTGCTCCACGTCTGGGGCAAGTTTGCTGGCATGTCCTCCCTGCGTACAAGCCGCCCTCCTCCTGCAAGAGAGGCAGGCAGCCTCTCGGACACACCATGAAGAGCCAGAGGTGTGGCACTGAAGCAGAAGGCACGGGTGGTGCTGACGCGGAAGGCGGCTTGGAGCATTTTCCCAAGGAAATGCTGCTGGGGCAGGCTTCCCCAGGGGAGGGATTGGACGAGCGCCGGAGAGCAGGCTCCTCCACCCGTTTCACCCGGGCACGTGCCCCAGAGGAGACACAGCAGTGGGCACCTCCCTGCACGGCCCATCTGGACTCAGTGCCGAGGCGTCCCTGCACGTGCCGAAACGTCCGGCCATCCGCCACCCCAGCGCGCACCTTGCTGGCATGTCCTCTCTGCACAGCCTGTTGTGAGCCGGGAGGCTGCTCCCCAGCGTGGCCCGGAGCTTCTCTCGTTCCTCAGTACGAAATCACCGTGGATTTGCTTCTGCTGTGTGCTCTGCATCTCTTTTGTAGCCAAACAATGGTTCATAATGACACAGTTCTTCTGCTGTGTGTTGGAGGGGATTTTCAGCCTGCAGCTTGCAACAATATTGTTTGATTAGGCCTGCCATTTAGCTAGAAAGAAGGGGTTGGTGTGAATGCTGCCATTTCATTTCTTGAACCACGGATGCCTCCAGTGCCAGAACATGCAGAGCTGCTTGTTTAAATTGCCGTGTCATGAGCAGGTCACGTCCCTCTTTCCCTCCCTTTCGATAGACTCAGAACAAAACCTTTGAAGTGCAGCCCTTCGGCTGACATTTAACTGGATGAGAAGAACCTAAAGCCGAGTAGCGTTTTCTCAGAGGGGAATGCAAAGAGCCGAAATACCATTGCCCCATTGGGTCAAGGCGCTCCCTCTGCATTCCTGCCCACTCCCTCCCTCGCCAAGGCAGGCTGGCTCGCTCACTCTGCCTGCAAAACTTCACTAGGAAGCCACAGAGCTGTCAAGTCCTCTGCCCCTCCTTGCTCCTTTGGCTCCTCCGCAGAATCAGACAGAGCGATCTGGGCAGACGGTCATGTGCAGGGGGCTCCTCCTCTGCTCGCCGAATCTCCCTTCAGTAGTGCAGCCGGAGGTGCAGCGTTGCATTCTCGCCATCGGTGTTAGCAGGGGGAGATTTAACGGTTTGGGGCTTTTAAGTACCGACCCGAGCATGCACAAACATTTTTTATTTCTCCCATATCTTGTTGATTCACCATGCCCGGATCAGATTGATCACCACAGCCCAGTTCACTTATTTGAGAAACATTGCATACGGCTCTGCAAGTGTCTGAAAAAAAGGATGAGGGCCTCATCCTCGTCCTAATCATGCTGAGGGGAATCAGGCCTGAGGGTGTGGGTGCCCAGCTGCATCAGCAGGTGTCCTCTTGATAATGTCTTTGTCCCTTCCTGGCACTCTGGCCCTCGCTTCTGCTCCTCTGAGGGGCTCTGGCAGTACCTTCTGCAATGCCTTCGTCAGCAGCAGCCTCTCTCCCTGGCTCCTACTGCCTTTCTGCCGCTGACTTATCAGGGTGCCCCTTCAGTCCCTCTAAGTGTTACCCTTTGCATTCCATCTGAGTGCCCTTCTTTTCTTCTGCTCCTCTTGTCTCTGCTGCCGGAGCATCTCAGCATGGCGCTTCCTGGCATTTTCGTTGTGCACAGAAAGGGCCGGGCATTGAGTTATGGCAGAAACTGCTAATCCTGTCACGAACAGAATTGCTGCAACAGCCTATTGATCACCTCACTGACCTGGACAAACTGTTTTGGCACTGCAGCATGGTCCCTTGAGCACATTTTGTAATGGCTCTGGCTCATTTCGGTGCTGAGGTGGAGGGGCAGGGGAGAAACAGGTTTGCAGAAGCAGCCTCTGACAGGATGGCCGTGGGCAGTTCAGCAGCCTTCCATGGCTGCCTCCTTGGAGAAATACTGGGGTGCTCTGTAGCTGAGCCGCTCACAGCAGGCTGATGTGTTGTTGGCTGGTGGATGTTTCGGCATGGATGCTCGACACACATACTCTTCAGATAATAATCCATCAGTTGGACACCACGATGCAGATTTCAATACCAGTTAAAAATGAGACCGTTATACAAACTTTCAACATTAGGTGCTTCCCACTCTGGTCACCTTTGGAGTAGGGAAATTACTGTGCACAACGCCTTTTGAGAATTGGTGCACATTCGAAAGGAATCATAAAAGAAGGGGTGTGCTGGGATCCCCTCAGATGGTGGGGGCCTTGGATGCTCCACGTACCTTCCTGTTCTTCCTGCACAATGTGAAGAGTTTTGCAAGCACACATGTCGTTCTACCCCAGTGCTTCGAGAAGCTGTGGATTCTAGGGGAAGATTTATAAACCTGAAACTGGTATTTTGGAAGAATGCATGGTGATAAGTTCTGGATCAACTGATAAGCTAGCCATGGGTCAGTTCTTCACCTCCCCACCCCCATGGACTCCCTGTGCACTCCATGTTTTCAGCTGTCAGGCTTTTGCACTTGACTTACGGTGCCATGCTGTGCTCCAAAGGATGCCCAACAAAAACTTCAGCAGCCATCACAGCTCAACAGACTGTTTGTGGCCTGCCCTTTCGGCTGCTTAAAATCCCCTTGGGGCTCTGAATTTGGAGGAAGACCTTGTACCGGATTCGGTTACTGCTTGCCGCCGGCACAGCATTCGCTCATCAAGGTGGCATTCGCTATTCCTTCAGGATGAACCACAGGTTCCAGACCCCGGGACTCAGAGCAATGCCGTCACCATTGGTGGCCCACCAAATCAGCAACCCATATCCTCTGACCCTACCATGTGAAACAGCTGCGTGTTACGAAGCATGTGATATCCTCCCAGCTACCACTGACTGCGTCTGGGACTGTCTTGTGCACAGAGACTGCTCAGTGTCTGGAAAGGACTTGCAGCAGTGGAACTGCCTGTTCTGGGTACAGCTGTTAAGTTGTTATGTTCCATTGAGTCATCGCCAACTTATGGTAACTCTATGAATGAAAGCTCTACAAAATACTCTGCCCATGACAGCTCCATTCAGCTCTCCCAAGCTCAAGGCTGTGACTTCTTTTACACATTCTATCCTTCTCATATTTGGTCTTCACTTTCGTCTTCTGTGTTTGACTTTGCCAAACGTGATTGTCTTCCCCAGTGAGTCTTGCCTTCTCATGATATGCCTGAAGCATAACAGGCTCAGCTTCATTTTTTGCTTCAAGGAGAAGTTCTGGTTTGATTCAGTTGGGCTTTTCCATTGTAGTTCCTTGCTGTCTGCACAACACTTACGACAGTCTCAGTTTTGTCATGTTTGCTTCTAGGAAAAGCTCTGGCTTGATTTGATCCAGGCCCCACCTGTTTGTCTTTCTGTCAGTAAAGGGTATTTTCAAAGCTCTCCTCCAGCACCGTGTTTCAGATGCATCCACTTTCTTCCTGTTCGCTTTCTTCACTGTCCAGCTTTCACACCCATGCATACTGATTGGGAATACAATGTTTTGCATGATCTTGGCCTTGATCTCCAGTGAAACATCCTCACAATTGGGGATCTTTTCTAGTTCCTTCACTGCTGCCCTTCCATTCTTCCAGTCTTCTTTGAAGTGTTTGGCTGCAGCCTCCCTTTGAATAGATGACTGAGCCAAGGTATGTGAAACCTTCCAAATTTTCAGTTTCTTCATTATTAACTGTGAAGTTCTATCAGTCTTCTGTGGACATGATTTTAGTTTTCTTAACATTTATCTGCAGTCCTTTTTTTCACTTTCTTCTTTCACTTCCATCAGGAGTAATTTCAAATCACTGCTGCTTTCTGCCAGTACTAAGGTATCATCTGCATATCCTGAATTAGTGGTGTTTCTTCTACCAGTTGTCACTCCTTCTGATTCAAATCCAGCTTTCCTTATGATATGTTCTATGTCCAGACAGGGAAACATATCCTTGAGGATAATCGGGGGCAGGGGGGGGAACCATGACAGGTTGATTGGGGTACAAAGGGGGGGGTGGTTATGAGCAAAACTCACTTCATAGGCATGCAAAGGAAGCACTGAGATATCCAGGGTCAGCTAAGACTAAATAAAAAATAAAAAGGATGGGTGAACTTTCTGTTGGGAGCTGCAAAGACAAGGTTGCCTCCCGAGCAATCAGCCGGCCAGTAGCAAAGAGGCCCTGCTGATGAAGGGAGGGAGCAGGACGATTGCACACTAGGCGTTTCGTTGCAGGTGTCCCTGGGACATGTGCCAGGAGCAGGTGGGAGGAAGGAATTGCACAAAGGCCATGGCAAGTCTAGGAGAGGCTGATGATCTCTTGGCAGCATCACAGAACAGCCAGCCTGCTTAGCGGTGGCTTAGCACCATGCATGAAGCTGCCCGTATTATTGATCGGGAACCAGCCTTTGGGGGATATTCTGCCGTGCCAGAATTTCTCTTCTCCCTGGGGGGAATTCTCCCCAATCAAGCTTTCCCTGAAAGTAGCCTGTTGAACCGGGATTTGAGGTGGAGTCGATTGTGGGTTCAGTCCATGTGCATGAATGTGAGCATGTTTGCCCAAGAGGTACGTAGGCTTCCGCATTTTGCAAACTAGAGTTACTTGTTCCATGGTCTCATCCGTGCTGGCCCCATAAAAAAAACGTTCAGTGGTGCAGGAATGTGTTGCGATTCCACTAATTGCATATTGCAGTGTTTATGTGTGGTCCGTCCTATTGGAGGGTGCAGAGATATATCTGCACCTATAATCATATATTGGGCAAGTGTTTATATGCATCCCTTTTTAAAAAAGGAAACATTTCTGAATAGCTGCATGGTTTCCTTTTTTGCACACACAACCCTTTTTCTGTAAACTGTTTGTTACAGGAATCCCATGCCGCCCAGTTACAGATTTTGATGGAATTCCTGAAGGTTGCCAGGAGAAATAAAAGAGAGGTAATGTAACCTGCTTAGATTTACTACTATGAAACCTTCTTTCCATTACACTATTTTTAACAATGCCGGTTGGCCTTTCAGTTTGTTTTTGGAGAGGCTTGTGTGGGTGGGTAATCTTGCGCAACAGAAGATTTGAAACACATGGATTTGATTTACTTGAGATTATGCAAATTGTGACAGTTTTTGCTCTGTGCTTTGTACTTGAGTTTGGTACTTCTTTTGATTAACTTTTCATACCATTTGAGAGATGATTGTCAAGGAAAGTTTATTTGTTGGCAGCTGCACCAAGTGCTTGAAATAAGTTGCAGCTGGGACTGGAGTTGAGCCGCTTAAAAAATTAATAGATTGCCAGTATTTTTAAGAGAAAATCTTAACATGAAATGCCTGTTGTCATCTAGAAGTGCATATATTATCGCAGAGTTTGGAGTGGGTGGTTTTTTAATGCTTCTGGCTGAACCTGATCAATGTTGTTTTCTCTGAGCAAATAAGAGGGCCTCAGCAGTGTTGGTTTAGTAAGCAGGGAGCACAGTGCTGGTGTCAAGAGTAGGCATGACTGGGCTCCTGTCAGGGCCCCACACCTGACTGACGAGATCCCCTTGTGATCCTCCTCTTCACTTTCACAGCCTGCCTGCTCACCTGCCTCTCCCTCTGCCTCCATGGCAGAACTTGTCTTCATTCCTGTTCTGCACTCATGATCATTAACCCTTTCCATTTGCTACATTTTTTAAAAAGGTTGGAATATCCACAATGCACAGTTGGGGCTGTATCCTTTTTTACATTTTCAGCCCCAGAAGCTTTGTGCTATCGTGTTGGTAACTTTTTACCTATTGTATTTTTCAGACTTTTTCAGGCACACTCTGAAGTCTGTCCAATACGTGTATATGAAGCAAGAGTCCAACCTGAGAAGCCTTAAATTGGCCTATGTGTGCTTTATGACCCATTTCTAGTACAGCTTATTAAAAAGAAAAATACATATGTAACAAGAACACCTAAACGCAATGTAAATTAGAGGGCAAAATGCCAATCAGTGACTGACAGCATGAAAGGGTTGGCACTTATTTATTTATTTATTTATTTGTTTGTTTATTTAAAACATTTCTATGCCGCCCCATTTGCCGAAGCCTCGGGGCGGCTCACAACATAAAATTAAAATATAACACATTCAAAATATAAAACAAATTAACAATATAAAATATAAAAGAAGTCGCTCTGGCCAGCACTTCTGGTAGCAAGCTTTGGGAAATGAGACCTTCACTTGCCTCCAAGCATACAACAAGCTGAATGCCAGTGCCAGGCAAGCTGCCACGGGGAGGGCATTCCGGGGGGGGGGGTCCCCTATTGAGAAGGCATTCCCTGGACAACATATGCCTTTTGAATGCAGAGCAGCCAGGGACAAGCCTCAGGTGTTAATCTCAGTCTGCAGGGGCAGATGGGTGCTTGGTAAATTGGACCAACAGACAGCTGAGCTGTGCCGGGCTCTACAGGCAAGCCGAGAACTGAGCCTGGAAGTGAGTCAGGAGCCAAAACAGGTTTGTTACGTTCCTTCCTCCCTGTCCCTGTTAGCAGCCTGGCAGCTGCTTTCCAAAGTAATTAAGCTTCCTAGAGTGAGTGTGCTGTAGTGATCCAGCTTAACGGAGTGTAGGTAACTTGGTTTTATCTCCTTGGAAAGGGGCTTTGGTGGGTCTTGGCAGCCAGTGCCCCCGTGGACACCTAAGCTCCAGTGACAAACTACTTCTAAATATCCTGAAAAAATGCTTGCTTTTAAATTGCCTGGGCAGAAATGCTGCATTGTGCACCATTGTGGATGTTTTAGTTAAAACGAGTCAGGAACAGGGCAAGGGATAGGTTGAGAAAAGCTCGTTGCTTAAATACCAGCATTTAGGTTGTGCCGAGTAGGGCGGTGATGGTGATGTAAGGTCTTCCCTGTGCAATGGTGAGAAAACGAGAGACTAGTTCTGGAGGGCTTGAGAGAGTGGATCTCCATGCCAGTTCAGTGCACTTGCTCCTCAACTGCTGCAGCATCTTGTAAAACCCTGGGCAGCAGTGGGCATCTTTAAGCACAGCTCACCTAAATGGTTGAAGCAGAAGAAGTGGGCTGACAGGGGGACTAGAATCCTCCCAGCGGATGGCAGTTAAGGCCTCCCCCCAGGGCAGCATCTGGATAAACCAGCTTCAGGGATGTGTGAACAGCTGCTTCACTTCTTCCTTGGTATGAGCAAGTGAACAAATAAGGAAGTTGAGTCTACAGCTTTCCATCATGGCCAAGGGAGGAAATGAGTGTTAATGGCTTCTAAACAAGCCAGGAAGTAGAAGTGAAATTAGAACCATGGTTTTATATTACACCTTGTTTGGAAACCATTAATAATAGATATACTGGGAAGCCATTATTAATTGCATGCTCCTGGGTCGTTATACTGCTCAGATGAACCAAGGAGCAAAGTTGCTGCATGTTCGTGTGTGTCTCACTTATTCAGTGGCGTTTTCGATCAAACATGGTCTTTAGTTAACTTTACCTCATGTGTTTTTGAGGAACTCAAAATATTCCAAAGGGGAAAGCTACTCTGGAAAAGAGTGTTGCTTTGTTTAGCTGAATGTGCATGTCATTTCCCTGAATATGTCCATTCAACTCTTGGTCCTCTGTCAACATAATGAAGATGTTAAGTAGCCAAAGATAGAGCTCTTATTAGTTATTGTGTGGTAATCATGGAGAATTAAAAGCATGGATTCTCTAGCGCTGTCATTAGCTCCTGCTAATCGTTTTTCTTGTCAAACTTTATTGCTTAGTCGTTTATACATGTGAATAGGCTGATGATTTATAGGTAGGGAGAAATGACAAAGGCAGAAATCAATCATCTCTCAGAACCACAAATTGTTAATTATTTCTTATACTCCCAAGGTAGCCTTGTAGCTTTGATATGTTTATTATCCATTTTTCTTAAATAACTACAGTTTCGGCTGGTTCAGCAATTTTAGTGCTCAATTAGATGGCAGTTGGGAGAAAGCCTACCAAAGCAGGCAGCAGGGGGTTTAGTGGGTTGCATGCTAATATCCTTAAGCATCCAGCCAGTTTTGGCATTGAAATATGTTGGTTACTTAGAAGCTGCGTTGGAAGCTTTTACTTTGGGGCTTTTAGGATTCTTGCTTTGGCTTTGAGAAAATGCTAATTTCTAGGGGTACCTTTGGGAGGGTTCTGGCATGCAGTATTTTTAAGGGATTATCTCATTGTTTTCAGCGGTGCAGTTGAAGCCTCTGTCTATATCTAGCTTATGTCTGCTACCCAAAGTACCCACAGCCCTGCCAGACACAAGCCTGCAACTGACTCGTGTAATTTAAGCTTCCTAGTTAAACCTCGAGCACTTTTACCAAAACGTTGGCACAACCTTTGAGTGTCAGTGGCAAAAATTTGTGGGGGCATGAACTAGTAACCCTGATGAGACGCATCCACTGTGTGGTGGCAGTGGCACTGGGTCTGTTCAGTCAGACTTCCAGAGGTATGTGTGACTGAGACTGTGGGTGGAGTGCAGCCTTTTTCATTCTGTTGGACCGGTGGCTTTATACCGTCCAGATGCCAGGTTAACTGAGGGAGTGCCTTTCTCCATACGCACCAGCCCAATCTGCAGCCCTCCTCCTCATTCCTCCCCATAGCAAATTGTGGGGAGAGATTGCAAGGATTGCTTTTCCAATCATAGTGGCCCTACATGGGAATTCAGTCCTGCTGGGCTGGCGCCTGCTCTTTTCTTTTAGATGCCAACATAGGACATTTTTGCTCCATTGTTGTTTTAACTGGTGAATTATTGACTGATTTCTAATGATGATTAAAATGTATTTTATTCCATTAAATGCTGCTGCCTTATGACTTTAAATTATGCTATTGATATTAATTATGTTAATTGGTTTGTTTTTTTGGGGGGGGTCATTGTGGATGTATGATATTTATCTTTTTATTATTTTGTCTTATTTAATTTTAGTAGCTTTTATTTATGGATTGGTATGGTTTATTGCCTTTATTGTGAATTGTATATGACGTTGTACATTGTGGATTTTATTGTGTTGTAAACTGCCCAGAGAGAGAGCGTATGGCCAATGAAGTGGCAGATAAATTGAAAGAAAGAAAGAGAGAGAGAGAGAGAGAAAGAACGAACGAACGAACAGCATCCTTCTGGGCAGTTTGGCAAGAATGGGTCATGAGGGCACTCTGTTGCCATGGTCCAGTTGGCTTCCAGAAGAAGGCGCTGAGAGACTACTGCTCAGCACTGCACCCTTTGGTTTCTCATATCCCACATGGTTCTGCATATTATTTAGCACCTGCGTGAAACTGTTGGGAGAGTGGCCCACCAGCTGTTTTGGCTTACAATTCCCATCAGCCCTGGGCAGCATAGCCAATGGCTGGGGATGATGGAAGGGCCATAGGTCTCCTGCCCTTGTCCTGGAGAACACATGTAGCACAGCTTTCCAAGCTAAACTCTCCTCGTGAGCGAGCATAAGAGAGACAGGTGCAGCACAATGGATGCTTTTTCTGCGCTGCTTCACTGCTGACACAGGAGGGAACAGGCTGACCTTAACAGAGACGTGCTCTTCTGGTCAGTGGGGAGTCGAGCGGGCAAGCCTGCCCTTTCCGACCTTCCTGTTTGATTGGGGAAGGCCCATCACCTTGGCATGATGCCTCCTCAGCAGTTTCAGGCAGGAAGGCTGCTGTCGTCCCTCTCTCATCTTCCGCTGCGTTTTCTCTTTTTACACTGTTCCATGGTTAGCGAGGCGTGTTTTTGTGCAAAAGGGACGGTTGACACTAGTGAAGTCAAGCCGTGTGTCTGGGATGTGCCCTGCTCCTGGAGGGACATTCCCAGCCAAGTCACGTGTGATGAGAACTCGTTGGTTAAACAACGCGTGGGTTGTTGTGCATGTGTGGGACTGTTGGTGGCCTATGCGCGGCTGTTTAACCCTTGTATAATACTTTGCCCCAGGTGTGAACGCCATGGCAAGTTCTGGCTTGCATATTCAGAACAGCTGCCGGCATGCTTTGCACCCATTGTTGCTGTTGATTGTGCCAGCAGGCCTGGGCTTTTCCTGTGCCAAAATTGTCTTTGGCAGCAGCACAACTAATTCTGCGACCCATTCAGAGTTTAATGTGTGCAGATTTAACCTCCCTTAATGGTTCATATTTGATGTAGAGTCATTGATGCAGCCTGGGTGCCTAAACTACAACCCAGTATAGATTTAATTTTCATTTAATTTGATAATTTGATGGATGTGATAGGTATTTTTACATCTTACATTCAGGTAGCTTAACTTACCAGAGCCATTTTAGGTGGGATGCTGTAGCTCAGATGCAGAATACTCTTTTTGCAGCTGCTCTTGAGGGCCACATTTCAGTGCAGGGTGGAGTTGAAGGCAAAACGGGCAAGGCAAAAAGCCCCCCCCAAGATTTTATTGAATTTGTTATTTATAAATATTATTGTTTTTAATTGTATGTATTATGAGCCGTGCCGAGATGCCAAGGTGACAGCATACAAAAGTTTTAAATAAATACCATCCATGCCAAAATATTAGAGCTTAGCGCTCCTATGGTGAGCTACCAAGCCACTCTTTTAGAATGGAGAAAAAGTGCACAGAAGCCAGGAAGACACCAAACGATTGGTGTTCAGGGGACAGTGGCCTGGGTGCAATTATAATAGTTGCATATTTTGATAAGCCACAATAACTACTTATATGGGAGTGTTCCCAGAATGTCGGTACTCTTGCTATTGGATGGTATAAAAATGAAATAAATAAATAGATAAGCAAACTAATTTGTTGCTAGGCAAATAATGTCAGTTGTGTTCAATTAAATTATTCTACTTGTTTACTAAAGAGTTTTTGTTATTTTATAGGCAACTTGTATGTGGATTTTATCAGCAACTTTCTAATTACTCAATGCATAATTGCTTTTTTATCACTTTAAAAACCATGAATATTAAGAGTACCACATATTAACATTGAATACTGGGGAGCTTATTTCTTACCAATGTAATGCTAGTGCATTTATTGCACAGCTTGTGACATTCTTTTAATGCACTTCTCCTGTCTGGTGCCTTTCTGAATACACATTAGTTTGTACCTGAGATGTGTCATTTTCCAACTTTTAGTGTGCATACTCTCTTTTTAAAGAAAATGTCTTAATTTATGACAGAGTCAGTATTGCCAGTACAAATTGGCTTAAATTTCTTTTATCCCTTTTTCATCCACAGCAACTGGAACAGATTCAGAAGGAGCTTAGTGTTCTGGAAGAAGATATTAAGCGAGTGGAGGTGAGGCGCCCAGCCGTTGTTGGAACTTGGGCAGTTTTTCACTCCCATCAAGCTGTCTGCCTCACTGTGGGCTGCTTTGTTAAATTTATGGCACTTGCTTCTGTAATAGAGAAAATGAACAGATTAAGCTCACCCGTTAATTTGTTTGCTTGAATGCCTGCAGTATTTTGCTTGATGTGAGGGGATTTCGAATACTTGTGTACCTTCCAAATGGTTGGTTAATTCTCAGAATTCATTTTGGGGGGGGGGGGTTCTGTGTGTGCGTGTTCTGTTTAAAAAAACTGCATTTGAAATACTGGGGGCCTAATAATAATGTTTAGTGGCTTCTTACAAGATGTGGGGAACAGACAGTCGCTTAAAAGAATAATAATGGGTCAGATAAAACAATTGGGCTCAGCAGAAGGTTTCAGCCAACATGTAGCTCTGTTGCTGGGTGGGAATGGTGAAACGGCCCCTGTTTATTTTAGTATTTTTCAGTTAATTAATCGAATACAGTCCACTTCAGTATTATTTATTTATAACCTTTCTATGCCGCACCCATCACCGAAGCCTCGGGGCGGCTCACAAGGAAAATAAACAAAGCATAGAACAATATTAAAAATTTGGAGTTCTCTGCAATAATATAAAACCATTAAATAAAACACAGATTAACAATTAAAATGTTGTTTAAATAAAAAGGTCTTGGCCTGGCATTGAGAAACAAATAACGACGGCGCCAGGTGGACTTCTCTGGGGAGCGCATTCCATAGGTGGGGCGCCACTGCAGAGAAGGCCCTCCTCCAGGTACTCACCCTCCTAATATCCCTCACAGAGGGCTCCTGGAGAAGGGCCTCCCCCGCTGATCTCAGGGGGTAGGGGGGCATATATGGAAGCTCCTTCCACCTGGTGTGAACCCAGCGGGTTGCAGAATGTACCCGAATATTGAAACCGTAGGACTGAAAGATGGAGAAACCTGCAAGATTGTTACCTAGGGAAGCTGGCCCAGAAATGTAGATGAAATTAACTTTCTTTAGAGTTCGGTCTTGCAATAAACTTACACGGGGGTTAGCCTTTGTAAATGTTGAGTGAGAGCACCTGATGTTGTTCATCCAGATTTATTTAAAAAGACCTTGCTGGGAGCTTCTGGTCCTGCTCGCACCAGTCTGCTCTTCAATAAAGCACTTCAGCAACAAGCTCAGTGTGGCTCCGCTGGGTTAGCGGAGCAAGCAGAGAAAATATCATTAGTCTCTCCAGAGAATGCTGGGAATGTTGGGCAAAAGTAGCTGAGCTGAAATGAAAATAATGAGTAAAGTAATATGTTCCTAAAGGTGCCTGTTGTTAATGGGGGATGTAAATCTTATTTTGTGTAATTACTGTAACGTGGCTCTGTATGTATTCCAGGAAATGAATGGCTTGTATTCACCAGTCAGTGAGGACAGCACTGTGCCTCAGTTTGAACCATACTCACCTTCACACAGGTACAAATCTGCCGGTTGCGTCAGATGCAGAAGGCACACAATAAGCCAACCTTGTCCTTACACTTTTCCCTCCCCGCCCCTTGCCCTAGTCCACACTCACCTGCTTTATCAGTGCGTCTTCCTTCATGGCAGGAAGCGTAACCTGTTTAGGTTTTATGGGGTGGGGGGACCGTTTTAGCTGGAGGGGCAAGCTCCATCCTTCTTCATGGTCTCTGTGCACCGCACCTATGGCCTCTACACCTGTATGGAGCCTGTTGTTGGGAAGCTTCTCTAACTAAGCGTTTGGTTGTGTCCCAGGGTTACTTGGGAGGGACTCCTGCCCATTCCCTCAGTTCCTTTTTGACCACCCTCACACCTAGATTAGGAGGTCTTTTCACCTGCATATTTTCAGTGTTTTTTTTCCCTAAATCTCATTCCTCCCTCATCCTTCTTCTCAGCATATGCTTTTTCCCCCATAAACCTGTTTTCACCCTTTTGCTAAACAGGAAGAGAAAGAAATCTACAAAAACACGTATTTCTCCCCTGCTTTCTCGCTACTCCGTTGTGTCCCATAGCAGTTGTTCCCTCATCTGTGTCTCTTTGCCTCCCCCATCCACTGTATTGGCTTCGACGGCACCGTTTCAGAAGTGTGTGAGTGGTGACAGCAGACTCCCCACTGTGGACAGGTGCTCCCCCTGCCTTGCCTGCCTGGCTGAGTGACATGTAATGGAGACCTGCCCTCACAAAGCAAAGAGCGGACGGGCTAAAGGCCGAACGGTGGAGGAAGCTGCCGGGTCCTCCAGCCGGAAAGGGCGAGACTGCCAGCTGCTGGGACTGCGGCAGCGACATCCAGGCCCCCGTCGGCTCTGGGGCGTGGGGTCTCCAGCTGCGAGGCCTGAAGCCAGTTGTTCCTCTGGGACAAAATCAGGGCTATGCATGAACACCAGCCAGGCCACTGCAGGGTCGTCTCCCAGGTCCCCAGCCCAGCACTTCAGCCATCACACCACATGAGCTCTCCGTTGTTCTTGGGAGGCCACAAGCAGGACGGGAGAGCGGAAGCCCTGGCCTGCCACGGCTCCCCCATGATGGTATTCAGAGATACTCTAGTGCTGATGTGTGCCCATCATAGCTCGCTCTTCTGCCCTGCCATGATATGCTGTACCTGCCACAATTTCTCTTCTGAAGGAACCTCTCATCCTCCTTTCTTTAGGCTCATCTAAAGAAGCACAAGAGAAATGTGGGCACACAGTAAAATTTGGCGTGGCCCCAGGTTGATAGCCCGGGGTAAAAATGGGCACTGGGTCAGAAAAGGCTGAAGACTTGTGCCGTGGCCATAGCCAGACCCTCGCTGTGCTGTCAGGACTGCTGGGCTACCCAGAACCTTGCCAGGGAGTGCTCATCGGCCAAGCCCCATTGTCCTCTGCTTTTATTGGCTGGACTTTCCCAAGAAGCCTTGAGAAATTAATAGCATCATAAACTTGGATGTTACTCAGGAACATCAACGTTTGTGGTCACTGGCAGGCCCAGAAGTAAATGAGTTCCCCCTGTGTTTTGAGTGTTGACCCCGTTGCCATTGTTTGGCATGGAACTATAGTGTGGCCAACATAGTTTCATCTTGCGTGGGCGATGAGTGGTGTGTGATGCTTTTTGCTTGGCTTGCAAGTTTAAATTTTATGTTCGGTTGGCCAAGATCTCAGTTGAAAGTGTGTTTGGTCTTGTTGCCGGCCTGCATGAATCCTGCAGGTGATATTAGTCTGGGAGAGCAGCAGGCATGGCTTTTATTGTGTGATAAACCTCCCAGGGGAGAAACACTATTGAGTTGCCAGACAGTTGCTGTATGACTTTTGAGCTTTTGTGATCTAGTTGCTGAGATAAAGTGCCGCTGCTCTTGGATGGTGGTAAAAGATCACAACCAGTTCTAGTGCTGAGCCTGTGACTGAGAGGAAAGGAAGGAGCAAAACGAGGAACAGCCTGCTGAAAAGCTTTAGATGGTTGCCAGAAATGGGGGGGAATCCAGAATGTGAGGGTTTGAGGTTTGCTGCAGCCCGTTATTGAATCCTTACTTCCAGTGTATTGATTAGACTCTGAGCAAGGCCCTTGTGCAGTTCATTACTTATTGGGATTTTATTGATGTGTGTGTCGGTGCTGAATGAGGCATCAATGATCCAGTGTTTAAATAGATCTTTGCTGGGTCTACATTTCCATAATAGCACAGATATAAATTAGCAGGCCATAAAGTGCATACAACCCACAAGCTACTCTTTGGTATCTCCTTTCCCCATGGCAGTGTTGTGTAAACTCATTCCTGTGATCTCTTAACACATGCCAGTGCTTAACGATTCAGTAAAACAGTGCTTTCATCTGTGCTTGGACATTCATAACCCTGATGTGGCCCATGTAAAGCAATTTCAAGATCAAGACATTTCAACTGAAACGGTACAGAAGTGCAGGAAAACTAAATCAATGTAAGCATATTAACGGGCACAGTAACGAAGAAGGCATCCCTTCCACTGCCAGCAATGAAATCCTCTGTGTCTGCCTTTGATGCATGCAAGCCTCCACACACACAGAGTGGCTTATGGCATGTGATGCAGGAGGTGAGGCACGGCAGCAGCATTTTCCACTTCCGCGCACCTGTGTTGCACCTTGCTGGCTGTTCTTGGTCATCAAGAGGAAGTACCATTGAGCGGGGAGGAAGGAAGCTGTAACGATGTTTGGATCCATCGTAAGCGGTTCGCTCCTGCCTTCTCCCTTCCTTGCTGTCCTGCATACCCCTTCAGCTGTCTCCAAGGTAGATTTCTGACAGGGGAGATGCAGGTGGGGCACTTCTTTCTGCTGAGGTTGGCAGGGAAGGTAGGGAAGGGCTGCTCATTTGGAATCCCAGCTCTGCGGTCAGAGGAGGCCATAGGACTGCCCCATAAAAGAGGGGCAACACATCCAGTTTACATTATTCTTAATGCTTGTGCTCCAATGTAGCTCTTTTAGACTTCTTATTCCTGTTAGATACAATGCAGTTCCACTACCAAAATGGTCGCGAGCACATCCATTCCCAGCTTTTCTATGTGCAATGACAGGAAATGGGTTCATAATCAGAATGTTCCAGATGTTGCATAACTAGTCATAGAAGAAGTGAATTTTGATAGGCTTCCAGTCCCGTGCTTTGCAAAGTATGTGTTGATGGTATCAGGCTGTTCTGGTGCAGCGAATGCACAAGGCAAAGCAAACTCATTTCACTGGTTTTACTCAGTGAAGGGCGTTTGCCTAGGCACCCATCATTCTGGGACTGCTAGCGATGAACTATAGTGAGGAAGCAGAGGATGCAGCAGCATTTTCCAGATTGCTTTTAGAGATGTAGTGCAGTGGTACCTCGGCTCACAAACTTAACCCGTTCCAGGACTCTGGTCGCAACCCAAATTGGTCATGAGCCAAGTCAAATTTCCCCATAAGGTTCAATGTAAATAAGGTTAATCCATTCTGTAACTTTTTTTTTTTAAATCACAAAAATTTGAAGTGGGTGCGCTGGGGGGGGCGGGTGCGATTGCAGGTGCGCTGGGGGGGTGGGCAGGCAGGTGCAATCGTGATCGTCACCCAATGCAGAGTTTGCGACCTGCGGCAATACTTTTCAGAAATTTCTGTTCGCAACCTGATTTGGTCGTGAACTGAGGCATTCGTGAGCCGAGGTACCACTGTATTGGCAAATATACTGTGTGCTTATTCTTACCCAGATTTCTGTGTGTAATTGCTAGCTCAGGAAACAACTATTTAGAAGGTTAACTGAACACAGGGGACATTCATTCCTTAATGCAGCAGCGGGTGGCACAGGGCTTTGGGCCACATGCGCCCCCCTGGCCTTTACTGTATCTCCACTGCTGAAATTTGATGGTGCAGTGGTGACAGAGGGAGCTGTAGGCTTCAAAAGGCGCATGAGGAACATGTGCCTTGTTTTCAAGCAAAATGCTGCTTCTGAAAGTCTCCTGCGAGCATTTTAGGCAATCTATAAATATTTTATATAACCGTCAGAACAACGCTAATCACAAATTGGCTGCCTGGGGAGTGAGGGCAAAGCAAAGGAGTTGCAGGAAGCTGCCTTGGGTGCTGAGGCAAAAAGCAGCAGCTTTAGAATTGCTGGGTCCCACGCCCCCAAATCCCCCAAGGGGCCCCAGGTCTAGGCTCTCACCTACACAGGCATCCTGAAGCCCATGGTTTTCAGTTAACACCCCCCACCCCTGTCCCACCATCACCACCCATGTGCCCTGGCTGGAGTGAACCAACGGAAGGAAGATGATCTTCTGCTCTGCTTCCCCAGCCCACTTAGGATTGTTCTGTAATACATTCCAAGTCCATCACTGTGGAAGGAGCTTGAAATTGTAGCCACCAGAGAAGTTCTTGTGAAATCCTTTGCCCCTGCAGTGCATGGATCATATTATCAAGGTGTTAAGGCTATGGGGTTTCAGATTTGCTATAACTATAGATTTCAACTTACTTATTCAGAATTTGTTCTTTTACTTTTTTTCAGTAGTGTTATTGATTCTACTGAATACAGCCAACCTCCTGGATTTAGTGGCAATTCCCAGGTAAGAAAAGACCCTCGGTATGTGCAAAGTTGGGGAATATGATCAAAGAGATTTCTCTCTCAATCTTAGAGGCTGATCTGAAGTTCTAGTAAGTTGTCAAAGCTAATTTGTGGTTCAAATGAAAAAGTTTAAACCTTTCTAGTACCTTAGATGCATAAATAGATCTTTAAAAGTGTGAACAGTAAAATGGCAGGCATAATTCAGCTCATGTGAGATCCAGAATAGATACGATATCCAGAAAGCCAGTGTGATCCAGCTTCTAGTCCCTATTCAGCCTTAAAATTCACTGGCTGAGTTTGGGCCAGTCACTGAGTTCCAGCCTAACCTACCTCACAGGGTTGTTGTGAGAATAAAATGGAAAGAAGGAAGAAAAGCAGAGTATTTATTTATATACTGTATGTGTATTTTCAATTTATATGCTGCCCCACTGGGTATAGCATGGGTACTCAGACTACGGCCCATGGACCAGATCTGGCTCTCCGTGCCCATTTATCCAGCTCGCCTCAGAGGTTTTGGACTCCCTGTGCACGGGCACGGGCAAACGGTGAAGCAGCGGCTTGCTCGTGCAGAGATCGTTTTGGACTCACTCAGAGAAAACTATCTCCGCGCAAGCAGGCTGGCGCCTCGCTGCACACCCCCCTCAGCCAGCCCACGCCCTCCGCCGGCACCTTTCAGCTGACCCCTGTTGAAAAAGTTTGAGGACCCCTGGGCTATAGTCTGTCTGGATAGCTTACAACGTGTTAAATCTAACAACATAAAACAATGCAAGTACAATATAGCATTCAACCAGAAAGACCAGTAATAATAATAGTAATAACAGTAAAATACATGAATAAATTAACAGAAAACCAAAGTAGAAAAAAGTAGAATGAGTAAATATTAAACCCCAAGGATAGAATATAAGCCAGTAAAATTAATAAAAATATCTCATTTAAAATTGTGTCCTATTGGTAGCAGCATAAAAAATAACATCCTTAATACATAAAAAATCACCTATTAAAATTACTGTTAAACAGGTAAGTCTTTAGTTGGTGCCTAAAAGCCAAAAGAGTAGGTGCCAACTCGACCTCGAGCAGGATTGAATTCCAAAGGTGGGGGGCTGTGCTGGAAAAAGCCCCCCCCCCCTTGCAGACTCCCCCCTCACTTCATTATGGAAAGGAACGCAGAGGAGGCCTTTGGATGAGGACCTCAGTGAATGGGCTGGTTCATGTGGAGAAAGGCACCACATACATACATACATATTAATAATAATAATAATAGTGCAAGAGAGCCTTTGACAGATCCCCCTCATTGTAAAAGAGGAGATAGCAGCCTCAAGAAGCCTTTTTTCATTTTTTTTTCCTTACTTTCTTTATTTCCTTCTCTCCTGGTGCAGTTTTGTCTTGCTTTTGTATCATACAATAGCAAACAAAGAAACAAGCAGAAACGGGTTTCCTCTGCCTCATGTGATGGCATTTGTTGACTGTCTTATCTGACACATGCTGGGCTTTCTGTGAACATCAGTAACACTGTGCCCTAGGTGGATAAAAGGGCCGCTTGGTTCCTCTTCTGTTTGGAATGGATTCTTGAGCACACATGTAATAGTGAAGCTGGAATCTGTCTGTGTCCTGGGCAAGACGCATTCCATTTGTACTTGCACAATGCAAGCATAGTAGGACTTACTCTCAGGCAAACCTGTTCAATACCTTGATGTCAGTGCATGAAACGCAGGGTGGGCCATCCACTAGATCCTGTCAGCTGTACATTAAATCTCTCGATGCATTCATCTTAGGAAACCATACACAGGTGTGTGTAAACTTTTTCAGTTTAAAATTTATATTACTAATTAGAGCTGAGCATCAATAACACTATAATAAACTAGCACTTGGTCACAAAATCGATTTGTAAGAAAGAAGGCTGGAAGAATTCTAGCTTGTCAGGAACAGCTATACATAAGACATATGTAAAGGCCACATATCTGCATGCAACTCAGAGCTGCCTGTGGCACTTAAAAGGGAATGTGAATGAATTCCAGAAGTGTGCTGCTTGCTTCAGTCTGGTTCTGAGACCATTTTGGTTTAAGTACTCGAAACCTTGGAAGGCCGTTTTATTGCTAAGAAAAAATGGCATTGGTAGTAGAATTAGACAGCTGCATATAAGTGAATCTGACTTCCGCATGAATAATTTTTTTAGATTCACAGTAAATGTAGTTGGGATGAACAGTTGGGCAGCATCTGCTGGTTGACTAAGTGTACCTCACACATACCCATTTTAATTTTCTGTTAAATGAAAAAACTTGGAAGATGTGTTGGTTCTATAATATCTGAAATACCTCAACTGTTGTTTATAGATTGACAGTAGTCTCTCTCCAAAGATAGTTGGACAGAACCATCCCTTGTTTCTGAATAGGGTTCCCTTCCTTCTTTTATTCAGACTAAGAAACAGCCATGGTATAACAGTACATTAGCATCGAGAAGGAAGAGACTTACAGCTCATTTTGAGGATCTGGAGCAATGCTACTTTTCCACAAGGATGACTCGTGTATCAGGTAGGATGCCTGTCAGCTGCTGAACGGGATACCATGTCTCTGTGCCGCTTCCAGTTCCCACCGTTCTTCCGTGCAGCTTAGCAGTTTGCCATGCATCCAGGAGAAGTAGTGGTGCTCCAAGCAGCATCCGATGTACCTGTAGCCACACTGTTGCTCTGTTTTGTGGTTTACCTTTTGGCCTGGCGTTGCTACTGTCCTCCCCGCCCTCCATATGCCGAGCTCTGGTTTTGTTTGGTTCCCGCTTCTGCTTTGTCCCCCGTTGTTTAGTCTTACTTGGAAACCACGTTGCTTCTGCCTTTGCAGGATTCCAGACTGTGTTTTCTCTGTCCTTTTAAGCTGCTCCCTCCTCCTCCTCTATTTGGTCTAGGATTTGTATTCTCGGACTTTCACCACTGTGGCTTTCCCTCCTCCCCCTCCCCTTCCTCATCTTCTTCTTTGTCATCTTCTTTCTAGTGTCTAGTGTCTAGTCTGTCTTAATGGCATTAAATATGTTTATGCTATAATTAAAACCTTTATAGAAGGTGCTTTTCTCATCCTGTAGTTTTGCAGGAAATGTTGAATATATAATGGAATAAAAATAGGTTTTCATTCATGGATGGTGATTTTAGATTCAGGTTAGAGAGGGTTCCTTTTGTTTTACTTTTTCTAAAAAGGGGAAAGAAAAGGTATTTGCTGTAAAACAGCAATATTTGCTAATTTCATTACAGGTTGAGGTGAGGCAAAGGCATATTTGTCCCGTTCTTTGTATACAGCAGGGCTTGTCTTCAATATGACTCTCAGGCATCCTGCCCTGTGCTGCTGCTTATTACAGGGTATGTTTGCAGTTCATGATGAGCCACAGAATTTGCTCTTTCCAATCTTGTTCTATGGATTCAAGTAAATTTCGTATGTAAATGAGGTGATAGTTCACTGGAACGAATGAGGAAGGAGCCGTGATAGTCGGGAACTGTATTTACCCTTCCTTACGGTAACTCTGCTCTCTGTACTTGCTACGCCCCTTGTCTAGATGACAGCAGAACCTCCAGCCAGCTGGATGAATTTCAGGAGTGCCTGTCCAAATTCACTCGCTACAATTCTGTCCGACCTTTGGCAACGCTGTCCTATGCTAGCGACCTCTACAATGGTTCCAGCATCGTATCCAGGTAATAAATGTGTGTTTAAAATCGTTGGAGACAGGATGACTACTTAGGAACAAGGAAAGTTCTTTAACCAGCGATCTGTCTTTGGCACCACATTCTGCCTAGATGAGTCTTGTCCCCAGTGTCATCTTTCTTGGTAGCTTTCTGAAGCTTGGAAAATGCGCCACTGCTAATTACAGTATGCCATATGTAGTTCCTAATAAAATATTCAGACTAAATTTTGAAAGATTTGTTTGAGGGTTTTTTACCAGCAAGAAAGCCAGTTCATTAGTCTTTTTCCAGTTCTATATTGTTCTTTTGATCCACATGAATCTCCTGTGTCTTGATGACTGGCAAGTTGTAATCAAAGCAAAAGAAGCTAAGATATCAAGACTCGGTTGCCATGAATCTAGTGATGCTGACAGAATCAACAAACTGTTGGTATTGTCTTCAAATGTTCCCTTTGGCAAAGACTCTGTTCACACTCTCGGGGCAGGCAAAATAAGCCAACGTGGCCTAGTTTCCCGACCAGACATGCTGTTGCGTGCTGGCAGAATCAGCACAAATACCCTCCGCATGGTTTGTAATGCTGTGCAAACCTAATCAGGACAGTTTGTTGGCATAGTTAAATAGCTACCCCAGAACGCTTCAACGGTGTATGGGTTTTGTGTGGCTTGTTAACCATGACGACACGTCACAGTGGCCAAGACCATGTAACAGGACCAGGGGAGCTGCTGAGGGTCTTTATGCTAATCTCCCCAGCATGTGACCAATAGGAGGAAGGCAGTTAACAAGCCAGGGTAGATTATTAACCACCCTGCAATTACGCAAAGGGGATCTAAGTCTGAAACCCAGTCCCTGGGAGACAACCTTGTTGGCCTGCAGTGTTCTGAGCATCTCGCTGATGAATGCTTAAGAGACTTAACAAGTCATAGGGAAATGATAATTGAATATTGTGATCACCTTCAGCAGTAACCCTATCAAAGCATTCAGAGTATTTTCATTGCTAAAGCAGACTTTTAAAAAACCCAACATATCATTTCCATGCGAGTAAAACTGTAGTTGAAGGTTTCTTGATTAGGAAACTCATTTGGCTCAGCCATGTTTCCTCTTACGGATGTTATAAGGATGATAGTCATTGATGGGAACCCACAATCCCTTTGCAAGCCCTCTCCTTTCCAGAGAACCATGTCTTTCCTCCAGCAGCATTGCACATTTATGTATGTATGTATTACATTTTGTATTGCACAATAACCAGAGCTCTCGGGGCAGCAATTTTAAACATTTTAAAAACCTAGAGTGCAGTGTAGCATTTTCCTGCACTCTCCAGTCATCTCTGATTTATCCTATGAACGAATGCCCTCCAAACTGTTCTATGCTTAACAGTTCTGCTCAGCTTTGGGAGCTCAAGGCTGTGTGGAATCCATCCATCTCATAGTTGGCCTTGCTGTTTTTCTGATGGCGGCTCTCCCTAACTTCATTGTGTCAAAAACTAGAGCTGAGTCTTTAACCTATGTGTCGGGAGAAATGTGCCTCAGATTTGCCCAGCCGCCGTTCAGCATAGCTGTGTTCCCCAAGGAAGCTGTGTTGGACCGTGACTCCCCAGCTGGCCGAAGATGGTGGGAGTCATGGCTGAACACATCTGGAAGGCTGCAAGGTGGGAATGGCTGGGCAAGCAAACTGGCTTGAATTTACATATCAGTGGATGACTTTAAGAGCTACTTCACAAAAGATCCTGGCCATGAATGGGAAGGGAACCTTCTCTTAATGCAGCCTAAAATAGCGTTTTGTCCTTTTTGCAGCCACATCACGTTGTTGACACGTATTCAGCTGGTGATCTGCAACAATTCCAAGATCCTTCTCACTTGTAGCATCGTGAATCCAAGTATTGCCTATCTTGTAACTGTGCATTTAGTTCCCTTTTCCTAGGTGTGGAACTTGGCATTTGTCCATATAGAATTTCATTCTGTTGCTTTCAGCCCAGCACTCCAACCTATCCAGATCACCTAGAATCTTGTTTCTGTCTCCCAGGATATTAACCGTCCCACCCAGTTTGGTGTCGCGTGCAGATTTGATAAGCATTCCCTGCACTTCCTCATCCAAAGCATTAATAAAAATGTGGAGGAGCACTGGGCCCAGGGCTGAGCCCTGCGGTACCCACCTGTTACCTCTCCCCCGTTTGCAGAGGTGCCATTGATGAGCACTCTTTGAGTCCAGTTCTGTAGCCACCTGATGGTGGTTCCATTTAGCCCACTTTTAGCTAGTTTGTTGATCAGGCTATCAGGGGGCACTTTGCCAAAAGCTTCGCTGAAGTCCAGAGCATTTCCACAGTCCACCCTGGAGGTTACCTGATCAAACAGGTGTGGGTGGTCTGGGGGGTTTTTTAGCACCACATCCTTTCCCAGGCCTGCAATCTGCTGCGTGCCCCCTCTTTATAAAGGAAAAGGGGTGCCTGGAGTTCTCCCAAGCACTAAGAAGGGCAACTCAAGCTTGCATGCCAAGTGCCAATTTTCATTAAAAATATTTTTTGGTATCCTTTCTCAGGGCAGTGGGGGCTGGTGCAAGCCCCTGTGGGGGGCATAGGGCTGACCTGTGTTGCTCACCCCCGATATAAAGTTTTGGATTACTGGTAACCGTGAGTGCACTGCTGACAACTTGCAGTCTTCCCAGATTTATAAAGCAATTTTATTCAATAGCCGAGCAGTAAAAGTATCAGGGTATTCTGACCCAGAGAAGCAATTCCTGCAGTTTAGCTATTTTTAGTGTTCTTCCACTGAGAAAGCCAGTACTAAAACATTGAAGAGATAAGTAGATGATCTACAGTGTTTATATTAGCCATGAGTTTGCAAAAATGCCTTTGCAGTTAAAATACAAAAGCTGTATGTAAAAAACCATAGCAAAATGGTCCATCATTTCTAAAATCACACTGAAAACTAGGTCTGTAGTTGGTCTGTGATGCCATCGATGCTAGTGAGATGAATTTTGAGACTGGCCAGACCAGTGTCTTCTCAGTGGCTTGCTTCTTACGTAACAACCCCTAGGTTAAGCATGGATTGTTGAATTGTGAGTTATGTGGGAACCCTGCACCATGGTTTAGTCATGAGTTGTTAACTATGAATAATCCAGGGAATGAAGCCATGGTGAGTGCTGGGTTGTTTGTAGTTAACCCATAGTTAAACCCTGGAGCAGGATCCACATGTAATGACAATCCCCAACAATTACCCATAATAAATTCTAAGTCATCATAATGTGAGAATCAGCTTGGTTGGAGAAATCAATACATGTAAAGGATAATCAGTTGTTTGGCATATTTTACAAGGATTTTTAATAAATAGTAGTAGAAATAATTGTTCCATACTACCTGAGGAGTAGAACAAGTTTTGATGCAAATCTGGATTTTTCCATTTTTGACACTGTACAGTTTATTATCTGAAATGCTTGGTTTGGGCCAAAACAAACCCTTTCCCAAACAGGAGAAAAAGTTTTTATTTTGGGGGAAGGATGTTCCATCTCTTCTAGGTTTCATATTTAATATGTTAATAAATGGAACCTGCCACAAATACACAGTTTGGAGTTTTTCTAGTCGGGGTGTTAACCAACCAGCTTGGCAGGCATGACCCTGTTAAGAAGACTCCATCTCTACTTTCCCTGCTTTTAAAAAAATCCTCCCTCATGTGTGAATGGTGCTATTTTGGATCCATAAAGTTTACATGGGAGGGAGGAGTTTGCTGTGAGTATGCAGGATATTCACAGTTGTGTTCAGCACTGGGTAACTCTGAAATCCTTAGCACTGGATGAGGCCAACTTTGCAATGAGACCTGCCTGTCTGTGAAGGAGTTGGCTGGTATGGCAGGCTATACATCTCTTCGCCCCAGACTAGCCAGTGAGGAGTAGTCTGCCTCAAAATCCACTTGATGAAGTTTGCATTTAGAGAACTGGCTGGGCAACCCTAAGAATGATTTCGATGTCTTCTTGAATTGTTTTCTGGTTATCTGCATTTTGATGAGTGAAAATCCTTATTGCAGATTTCGGTGGCATCTCTTATAGTTGTTCCTTGATGGATTAGAAAATAGCTTTATTGTGCATGCTTGAGAGAGTTTTAATTTTTAGGGCTAACATTTGCATACTTTGAATTTGGGAAGCTAATAAATGAAAGCTACTGAACCACCAGTGGGACCTCTCTTATTTAGCTTTAGCTGATCATTTCTAGCTCCTGATAGTTTGAAGATGCCATCTCTTATTAAAGTTTTTAATGCTTCAAAGAAGTCTCCATCTGCGGATAATTAGATGAGTTTTAAACATTCAAACTTAATTAGTAGCCTCTTTAAAGTATATCAAAATGATACAGAGGTGGATCAAAATTTAGGGAAAGTCATCCTTTTCATTCCAAAGGAACAAGAGGATATAATGTTCGATGCACAAACGTTGCTTCCATTATTTGCAAAAATTCCAAAATCCCACATCTGAAACATCTTGCCAGGGTCTATGTGCCATATATTACGTACTACGTGAGCTTCTATGTGGCATCCATCAGAAAAGACTTCCTAAGCTTTTGGTGTGGGGAGGGGTTGAAATAGAACTTCAAAGCTCAGATACAGTTTTCCAATCAGTGGAATCAAGACACCTCAGTTGTGTTGTTTTGTCTTCAGAGAGTTACTTGGTTGCCCAAGGAGGTTGTTCTCTCATTTTTCAGACAGTAGATGCCAACTTTCCCCCCAGAAAGATACCACCATTTGTTTTTATGTGTCTTAAGACCTAGGCTCTCCCAGAAAATCTCCTTCAGACATGGCTCTAAACCAACTTGAATGGTTTTAGAGGTGTCTTTTCTGTTACTGTATGTGGCCAGATGCCTCTATGTTTTTGGGCCATTGTGTTTCTCTGGCCATTACATCAATTTGAATCCCTTTCATCAACTTTAACGTCTCTTATGAGAGAAATATACCATGCAGCAACCTCTCCCAACATGGTGCCTTCCATATAATTTGAATTTTAACTCCCAGTGCCCCCTACTCACCTTCAAGAGA